AAGCTACTATAAATAGCTATAATAAATTCTATTTCTTTAGGCTTAGAATCTATTCTTTTAAGTAGCTTTTTTTTAAGCTTATTAAGTGCCTTAATCTTACCTTTAAGGAAGCCTTTATTAACTAGCTTATATTAAGGCTATATAAGCTTAAGGATTTTATAACTAAAGGATACTTACTAAATATTAGTAATTATATATATATAAAACTAGTTATTTATAATTTTTAAGGCCTTATTATATAGCTTATTATAGTTATTTCTATAAAGGGCTTAGTTAATTATTTTATTTCTAATTATATTAAAGCCTTTTTTTATTAAATAAAGATAGCCAGGACTAGGCCTTTATAAGCTTCTTCTAAGCATTATAACAGTATAGCTATAAGGTTATTAGTAGCTGTAATTAAAAGGGAAGTTAAGTTAGATAATTTACTATTAAAGCGTATTAAATAATTAAAGCGTAGTATATTATAGGGATTAGTAGTTCTTTTAAAGTAGGTTACAGAAAGAAGATTTAGGCTAGCTAAAGAGTAAGTAAGGCTCTTAAGCTAGCCTATCTATAATAAGGTTTAGGCTATAAATAAGGCTACTAACTTAATAATATTAACTTAATAAAGCTTTGCCCCTTAAAAGGTAATTAATATTTAAATTATACTAGACTTTAGAGATGCTTAAATATACCTTTTAAGGCTAACTTATAAACTTAAAAAAAAAATATTATAAAATTTACTTATAATAAAGTTAAGGCACTAAAAGAGCTAGTAAAGAAAAGGAATAAGAAAAATAAATATATTATAGCGTTAAAAGGTACTATTAACTAGATAATAAAGCTTATAACTTTATAGATTATTATAGTAAAGAGGCAGGGTATAATCTAGTAATTAAAAAGTTAATAGTTAAAGTTATTAAATAACTTTAAAAAGGATTATATATATAGTAAAAAGGTTAAACTATTAAAGGTTCTGTTAACTAAGTTATCTAGGCCAGTAATACTTTTACTAAGGTAAGTTATATCTAAGTAATTAAAAGCTTTAAAAGCTAAGAGAATATAAGCTAATTAAGTTTATAAGATTATAATATAATAATTTTTAATACAATAGTCACGCGCCTCTTACTGACCACAGAACAGCCCATATCTCGACCAAACTCATACACTCGACGGATGCCGTTACCGCCGTTCCACTGGCCTTTGCCACCAGAATCATCCCGTATGCTGAACTCGCGCACGACTATAGGATATCGCTTCTCTATGATCTCTGGATCGCAAATCTTGGTGTTGGTCATGTGGACATGCACGCCGCTTGTGCCGTGCCAGCCCGGACCAGCACCACTCCCGCCGCAAATAGTCTCACAAAAGACAAAGCCTATATCAGGTATCAAGTTACCAGTTGCAGCGTCGATATTGCCATCTATACCAAAGGAAACAACGTTGCAGTCGCCCTGACTGGCAGCAGATGCTGCAAATGCCTTGATAAGCACATCAGTCACCCTCTGTGATGTAATAGGATTGCCGGCACAAACGGCAGCTTCAGGTGATGGATTAAGAATGCTGCCCTCTGGAATTGTGAATGTGAGAGGGCGGAGACAACCTTCTTTCAGAGGAATATCCTGCTTTATAAGACATCGCATCACGTAAAGAGTGGCGCTTCGAGTGATGGCTTGGGGGGCGTTGAATGAATGGTACCCTTGCTCATCAGTACCAGTCCAGTCAAGATGTGCTGACGCAGTGTCGGGATCAATAGTGATAGTGAGCTGGATAGGCGTGCCATCATCCATGTGGTCGAGAGCAAATAGAGGTTTCCCTCCAGTTTCTTTATACGTGCGCAAAAGGAAATCTCGAACGCAGGCCTCGGCATTGTCGGTGATGGCATGCATATTGAAATGCACATTCTCAAGGCCATATTCAGATATCAGTTCTGAGACCAAGGATGCTCCTTTAGCATTGGCTGATACCTGAGCCTTCAGGTCGTTGATGTTATCTGCAAGCTTTCTTGTGCCCGAGCAACCAGGAAGTCTTGACGGCTCCTCTAGCATGATCCTCGTAATCATCTCTTCGTCAAATTTGCCATCTTTGACTAGAAACTCTGACACAATCATAGCTCCCTCTTCGTATAGACTGACACTACCAGCAGGCATAGAGCCAGGAAGAATCCCTCCAATCTCTTGGTGGTGTCCTCTCGATGCGGTGTAGAAAATGATGTCCTTGCCCTCATTATGAAAACGGGCGTGATACAAGTAATATCCGGTAGGTGTGTTCCGCCTGAGATCGGGTGGTTTGCCACAAGAACGTCTCCGGGGCAGAGCTGTCCTCTGTATTTGTTATGCTGATACATCACAGCCTGCTCCATCGCTCCTAGATGAACCGGCACATGAGGAGCATTGGCAACAAGACGACCATCAGGACTGAACAAGGCGCAACTGAAGTCCAGGCGCTCCTTGGTATTAACCGAGACACTCGTCTTTTGGAGGGCATGGCCCATCTGTTCCGCGATGCTCATGAAGCGGTGAGATAAGACCGTGAGCTCAACAGGATCAACTCTTTTTGGACCAGTCATTTTCTCTCCACTATGCTTCACTTTTGGCTCGCTCTCCAGCTCCTGAACAACATGGCGCTCGAGAATAATCGCTTTAGCTTCAGGGCTAACAATAATGGTCTGTAGGTCATCAAGAATGATAGCAGGACCTTGGACAACGCAGCCCTTGTCGAGAGAGTTGAGGAGGTACAGGGGAGCATCAGACCAGCCCTTTTGGAAATATACCCTGACGCTGTTCAAAATCTTGCCATTGGAAATAGCTGTCAGTGGAGATGCGTCTATTTGCTTTTCTAAGTTGAAGCCTGGCTCTACCGAAGGGCTCTGTGCGGTGGCCCGCACTCTCACATTCTCGACAAGAATATCGCGCCCAGACATTACGAAGGAGAATTGTCTCTTATTCTCAGCGGTGAAGGCTTCAGACCATGTCCCTTGTTCTGGACGTGGAATCATAAACGTTGTGTCTGACCCCACGTATCGAAGGTTGAGAAAATGCTGGAACGTGATAGACTGCATTGATACGCCGTCCGAAATGAGCTTCTCAGTCGCTCTGGACTCCAGATCCTTGAGGCGGGCATCAAGCTCGGCCAGAGACGTCTCCAGGGGCAGAGTACATGGTAGCTGAATGTCGTGAACAAGATCCGCCAACGCCATACCATAAGCGGATAGAATAGACGAGTAACGATGGATCAAGATCCGATCGATTCCAAGGTTTGCTGCTATGGCCTAAATTCTCGTTCAATATGTCTTTTTTTAGCATGTAACGTGGCTGACTTACGCAGGCATGTTGTCCTCCAGCTCCGCCAAATACAGTCAGCTCATGGTCCGATGTACGACATCCCTTGGCTTCTGTCAGGGATCGAATAGGTCTGCACATGGTCTCATTTGCCACCTGCAAGAACCCAAGGGCCAGCTCTTCAACTGTCTTTGTAGGAGCACCAGCAGCCGTCATATCAGCATTGACAGTAGCTAACAACTCCTCAAACGCAGCCCTGCTCCCATCATAATCCAGAAGCTCATTCTCATTCGGACCGAATATTTTCGGAAAGTACTGAGACTGTAGGCGACCCAGAACTAGATTGGAATCTGTCACAGTTAGTGGCCCTCCTTTGCGGTATGCAACAGGTCCCGGGTGAGCACTGGCCGATTCTGGTCCAGCGTGGAACAGCCCATTACTGTAGGATAAGATACTGCCCCCTCCTAGCATGAAATACCTAGGCAGCGCTGGACTTGAAAACACCGCAAATCATTCATTTCCCAACTTACCTGCTGCAACTGTGTCTACCTCAAGTTGTGGGCTTTGGATCGTGATTCCTGCCGTAATGGACTCGAAGGTGTGTTCAAGATGACCAGCATATCTCGAGACATCCGTACTGGTACCACCCATATCAAACCCAATGATAGGCTTTCGTCGCTTCTGGTCTTAACATGTACGACTAAAACCAACTACACCGCCTGCAGGTCCAGAGAGAATAGCTTTGAGGCCGCTGAAGTTCTGCCAGTTGACAAGACCGCCATCGCTCTGCATAAACTCACATCTCGCTCCGTTGGAGTCTTCAAGTCCACCAATAAAGCCACTTCGGAAGCCATTGATGTACGCTTTTGTAAGGGGGGTCAGGTATGCGTCGGCGGTGGAGGAGTAGCCTCGTGAGATTGCTTTGATCATCGGGAAGATCTGTGATGAAAGGGACACCTCGGTGAAACCTATCTCATCTGCCAGACGGGCAAGCTCCAGTTCATGGTCAGGAAAGGTATAAGAGTGAAGAAGCGTAATTGCTAGAGCGCGGACGCCTTGGTCAAACAGACCTTGTAGGCCATGTTTGGCTCCCTCAATGTCTTCCCTTGAATGTCAGTCCACATTGTTCAGTATTTGATCTGGACAACTTACCTATGGGCTTGATGACCTGGGTGTACTCCCCACCGACACCTCTTTTGAGCCCCAAGAGCTCTTTGTCTGCATTGCTCAAGCCTGTTGATTCTTCGGTAGAATCGTACAAGGTTATCCTCTCGTCAATTTCGAGCACTTCTTTGAAAAGTGTCTCTGGCCGACGAATGTTGAGGTCGAACAACTTTGGTCTTGTTTGATCACCGATTCGCAAAAGATCTTTAAAGCCCCTTGTTACGACCAGGGCACAGGGGGTCGAGGAGCGCTCCAGAACGCGTTAGTAGAACCAGCTTCGTCGCCGCTGTTTCTGGTGCGCCTATATCATGGACCGAGTTGTCATGTCCTCATTCGAACTTCCACCTTCGATATCAGACACCATGATAACAGCAAAGCTTTACGCAAATATCGATGATGACGATATTGACATGATTGCTGCCCAGACAGCACCTGACCAAGAGCTACCCGACTCAAATAAATACACGTCTGTATCGTCTTCCCTGCATATATTACAGTGTCGTCGTATACAGCCTGAGATCTTTGGATATACCCTCCATTGGGACTACAAGTCCAGATACGAGAACTCGCTGGACTGGAGACTGCTGGTTCTCAATGAATTAGAAAGCTACAAGGGACGCGTCCAGAACTTTACGGATCCTCAATCCAAGGGTCATACTTCACAGCGATGGCTTGCTATGATCTATCACTATACGCTACTAACGCTTTACCGCCCAAAAATGGATAATGTTCTTGGTCCAGCTGGAGATTGGTCTATTCAAGCTGGCTCACAAGCCTGCCTTATATTTCGAAAGTCTCAGATGGAGCGACAAATTGCCCAAGCATGGCTCGGTGTAAGTCACAGCTGTAACCGGGCATCGTCTTGCAACTTTGCTAATTTGTTCTTGCGTAGCTCCTCGTCCAGTTCCAGTCCGGCGTGACAATCCTATATTGCTGCTGGGCGACACCTCCAGAATATCGAACTGAGAGCTATTATTCACCCAATGTTTCCGACGCTCTCAGGGCATGTTCCAATATTCTAGCATTACTGACCGATCGTTGGCCAAAGGCCGAGTGTCTTCGAGACGTATTTGAGCTTCTGGCCCGAGACGTTCCACTAGTTGACCGTCCAAATCGACCACCTATGCGGATATCAGATACTTCAGCGTCCACTATCAAGGAAAAGCTTCCTTTGTTAAGAGCGCTCATTGTAAATCGCTCAATTATTAGGATGATTCAAGAAATGGTGACAAACGACTTTCCACGAATACGTGGAGATCAGACACCTCACCATCTTGCGTCGCGGCGGCCAACGCCAGCACCAGCACCTGCAGGACCCATTCGTGAGAGATCGGCAGCGATAACGATGAATCAACAGCCAATACAAATATCATTCGATTTGCCGTTTAGTGCACAGTCCGTTTCTGGCGAAGGAGAAGTAGGAGATACCTCGACCATTGGACCAGACGAGTTATTCGCCTTCCCCGGCATGTTTGACTTGGACTCTTGGGCCTAGATTTGTGCATTAATATAATTATCATCATTCCTGACTGTAGGGAAAATTAGAATATATAAGCTATAAAGGACTCTCACAGCAGAACACTGAACTTAGCCTCGGCTAAAGTATGGGAAGCCTGCCACGTTAGGTCTAGTGGAGCAATTTCACGCTGAACCAAAGAGTGCTGGGCCATTAATTCTAACTCTGTCATCACCTCATAGTCAATCATGATGTTTTGAATGCCGTCCCACTCTGCCTCACTATGCAATCTCTCACCTAATACATTGTGGCCATGCGACCTTCAACAGCGTGCTTGAACTGCAGAAGTTCTAAGCGCAGATGCGATCGGATAGACAGCTCGGCAGCATGTTCTCAATGTGTTCAGCGATACTTGCAGTGTACAACTACTACTATCAACAGCCCCCAACTTCCAAGATCACCAGATTCTCAGGATCCCCCACGCCTTAGCCAGTCTACCCGTACACAAGATGAGAAGATGTACTTGGTAGATCTCTACTTTCGCTTCATCCATGATTCCCCTCATAGTCTCTTCCATGAGCCCACATTTAAAGCTAGCGTTGCGGAAGGGACAGTATCTCAGCCTGTCCTTCTTGCCATGATGGGTTTATCTGCAAGGTATGTTATCATTCCCAGATACTTTTCAGACGATACGCTCAACAGCTCTCATGAGAGTCCAGGTTCGCCACGGACCCTGGTGTTGTTGCTCGTGGACCGATATATCGCGCTAAAGCTACTGCAGCACTGAAGGAAGACCTGGAACATATCTGTATCGAAAACATCCAAGCTTGTATTCTTGTCGGAAACAACTTCTTCGGCGAAGGTGACGCAGATGCTGAGTCTTTGTATTTTGGTTGGTCCTTGGCTCTGAGTCTCTCTTGGACCATATCTAACTGTCAACCAGGACTTGCAAGTCGAATGACTCAAATTCTGAAGCTGGGTGAGATTGACGAAAGTGATGACGGCGTGATGCGAGAAGTCAAGAGACGTATATTCTGGACGTGCTTCATTATCGACACTTGGGCCAGTGGCGGCTCTAACCTATCACCACAGTTCAGATGGCGGACCAAAGAACCTCGAGGGCCACTCGACGAATACATGTTCTACAACATGAGATTGGGAGATGGAGACGTCGCAGATGTGGACTGGAAGCCTGGATTATGGGCTCACATGGTCAGGCTGGTTGGGCTATATGCTGAAATACAGAATCTTCAGCAAGAACTCGCGAATGGAGCTGAGTGGAACGAATCTTTCATAGACGAGTCTGTACAACGACTTGAAGCTGAGCTCGGGGCTTTCGAGGAGGGTTTGGGCCCTGAATTGATGTTCTCAAGGGAAAACCTGGCTTCTTTCGTCAGCCGTGGCTTAGGACGTGTCTTCATAGCCTTTCATCTGGGCTATCACCACTACTATACGCTTTTATTTTACCAATACCTTGACCATCGTCGACCACCGACAAGAAACGGCCGCAAGTATGCTAGCTCCTGCAAAGTTCATGCTGCTATTGTATGCGACGTTCTCCAGGCCTCACGAGGGGTCCCTGGGGCCGAAGCGCTCTACAACATCGTGGGACATGTGACAATCGTGTCCTCGTCAGTGCTATTGCACACATATCTATTTGGAGAGTCTCATGAGCTTGAGGAGTCAAGAGACCGGCTGAGTTCAAACCTCGAGTCGCTGGTACAACTGCGAAACTATTGGCCTAGCGTGGAGATGATGGTAAGTACATACCCTATTACTCGTCGAAGATTTCTCATCAGTACACAGATCAAACGATTGGTGGTCTTTCAGAAGAATTGCATTCAGTCAATGAACGTAGAGTCTTACCGGTTCGACAGATGGATGGTCAAGTTTCTCATTGCTCATGCACTTGCTCTTGAAGACAAGGTAGATGATAGCTGGTCTGCTGCCAGTGTTGACGCAACAAACGGAAATGCCCATCTAGAACGAGGTCGCATCACTCAAGCCATGATTATGGACATCCAGAACTATGATACCGAGACCTGAGGAGTTATTGAAATAACACAAATAATTAAGACATGAAGAGACGATTGCAAAGCGCAGTTTAAACTTTGGATGGTAATCATGCCAACCGTTAAACCTAAGTCAAAGGCGAATTGCGTAGCTCTTTGTTATCACTACGCGACGCGACGCGATGATGTTGTCACTGGGGTGAACATTCCAGGGTGTCAAGCTAGTAAGAAAATGCCGGGTACACAACCGAAGTCGACTAAAAGATGAAGGTCAATCAGAGCAATTCAAACCCGTGGAGGGCATCCAATCAAATAGTGTCAAAGCCGGAGCTAGATATGCCCCTCATCTCTGACTTAAGATCCTTGTTTTGCCAACCCCGTTTCGACTCCACAAACCGGGACAGCAAACGTAGGGTCAACAAGCTAGAATTATTACAGACATATTGGAACAACGAGAGACACCACAGCTAGATCGGGGTTAGTTACAGGCTCATATCGTAATTCAAGCAGGCCTGAGTAATTGGCTGTAGAGCGAGTGTTGGTGTTTAGTTCCTTACGATGTGCGGAACAGAGACATGTTTACCCTGTAGGAGTGGTTTTATTCTTCGGAGCGACTGCTTTCTTAGGTCTCGGGCAAAGTCACATATATAATAAAGAGTTATGTAAAATAATTTCGCAAGCTTTAATATATCCTCATGAAACTAATTCTGACTAGCTATAGAGGTGAAGTTGAAGGAACTTGGCTTTAATTAATTGAAAATCCCTCAACAACAATCTGAATCAAACATCCTTAACACCGTCTTTAAGGCCATTCTCAATCGCATAAGCCTCCTCAGCGCGACGCTCAGCCACAGTTACGTAAGTGCGGAATTGTCGCGTAGGCACTTTGTTCATGAAAAGCTCGTCCAGCTCCTCATAACTTCGCATGCGAGTCTCGGGCACGAAGAAGAATGCCAAAACAGCAAAGATCACCATGAACGCACCATAGACGAAACCGATCTTGGCCTTGAGGTTACCGTATCCAGGGTTAAACATGTAGGGCGCGACAAAAGACCACATGGTGTTGACGGCTGAGGAGATGGAGATTGAGATGGCGAGGGTTTTGGTACGGAGAACGGACGTGGGGACCTCTCCCGCAAGGGTGTACACTGTTGATCCAACGCCGACATTGTAGAAGAAGTTGTACATGGTGTAAAAGCCAACAGAGGCCGTGACGGCCGCGGTGGTGTCGATTGAACCTGAGATTCCCATGCAGATGAGAAGCAGAGAGAGGCCGATGCATCCAGCCAGATACATAGGTCGACGTCCATAAAAGTCGCCAACCAGGAAAGCGATGGTCGCACCGGACATGGAGAGAATTTGAGCGCCAATCTGAATCTGAAAGGACTTCTTGTCGCTAATTCCAAGATACTGGTACATGAGAGCGCCATAGTTGGAGACAAATCCAAGACCTGACATGGGCTCAGAGAGGAACACCATAATGGCGATAAGGGATCGTCGAAGGTTAGTGCCCTTGAAGCAGTCGAGATATGAGCCCAGATTCTTTGAGTCAGCTTCTTCGAGAGTCAACTTGATACGTTCGAGATGACCAGACGCGTCTTCGGGGTCTGAGTACATGCGCTCAAGAGCCATGCGGGCCTTCTCCATCTTCCCCTTGCGGACCAGATAGACAGGACTCTCAGGCATGAGGAGCTGGCCGATCAGAGCAACGCCAGCAAAGCCCCATTGGGCAACGATGAGGGACTGCCAGGACCAGTTGGTCTCCCATTGGGAGCTGAAGTTGGAGAGGATGGCAGAGATGAAAGGGCCAATGCACTGAGCAAGGTTGCAGAATCCAATTGTGGTAGAGCGAATGGCCAGTGGCGAGACATCAGCTACGTATGCTGTGCATAGGTTCTGGAACGCGCCAATAGCGACAAAGTTGACCATCTTGCCAGCAAAGAACATTTCGATCGATGTAGACGCGAACTCAACGCCAACTGATCCAATGTTGATGGCAGCAGCAATCACAATGACAGGTTTGAAGCCGATCAGATCAGCAAAGTATGAAGAGGCCCAGGCTCCAAAGATGGCAGCACCGTTGGAGCCACCGCTGAGTGCAGATTGCCAGCTCGTCTCGATAAAGTATGAACCGTCGTCGAGTTGTTTTCCGAATCGCTGCTTGAACACGGGAATGCTGATTACAGAACCAGAAGACTGGTTTTCGAAGCCGCGGACGATCAGAGTCCAAAGCATGACTCCGATCCATAGGAGAAGCCATGGATCGCGTCGAAGGGTCTGGAGGTAGGTTCGACTGTGCTCTTGGTGTTGAATGGCATGACCGCGCGTGTGGTCTGGGGAGACGTGGAGGGTCTTGAAGTCTGATCGCTCAACGTGAGCGGTTGATTCAGGCTTCTCCATTGGGAGGCAGGATGTTGATAAGAGATAGCAAAAAGGATAGGAGTCAAGAGACAGACAGTCGATCTTGTGGAGAGTGATGAGGAGTGGACACCAGAGACAGCGGACGATGCATCTTATATAATAAAGAGAATGTCACCATTGGCATCGCGGTTCATAGTTCCCCGGATGGGAAACCTTCTCCAATCTGCTGGTACACCACAGTGCGGGGCCCCAGATGGGGAGAAAAAGACTGAGACAAGGACCTAGACCAGAAGGGGGAAGCCATCATGACCCAATAATGAGCCGTCAAAGCCGGCCTGAGTACACTAGCGCCGGCTTTGAGTGGCTTTCATTGGTGAATCGGAAATGGTTCGGTAGACCAAGCAGGAATTTGACTCGTGATCCAGGTCATTATTCGGTTGCTGATCCGCCGAATTGAATGCATGAATATCGGGAAGGATCATCGGATCGTGCGATGGGCCTGGCTCACCATGGATGCGACTGCTTGCAAAGTTGATTAGAGCAACGAGGCGTTGAACGAATTCGGTATACGAGGGGTTTCTCGCGAGGTAATACACCGAACAAGGCACTATACACATCTCGGACCATCCAAGGACACGGCGTTACCGATATGAAGACGTACACCAGGGATGTTTGTGTGAAAGAATTCTCTAGATTTGAAGTTTCAGATGGGGCAAGAGTAATGTTGGAATTTAAGGCGACGTAGTATTAAAATTGACCTAGCTAAGTCTCGATGCCATTCGGAGCCCGTGCCTTGAGCTTTTCTTCCCTCTGAAAGTCCTCAACAATCTTGGCCAAGATAAACTTGATCTCCTTCACAGGCCACTCTCCTTGCTTCTTATAGTCTGCTGTGAAAGACCACCTTCCTGACCCAACAATTTCAGTCTTCTGAGTGCCATCCTTACAAGGCAGCACAACTTCCATGGCCGTGCTGGGAGGGACCTCTACATCTACGTGAATGACCTGCTTTCCTACTTCGTCGCCCTCAAGCTTCCACGAAGTAGACACTCTGCCGTATGGCGTAAGATGCGATGCAGACGCCCAAGTAAAATCGCCTCCGACGACAGGCTGGACCCTCGACCTCTTCCATCCTGCTTCAAGCCGCTGCAGCCCAGCGAGTCGTTCAACCATAAACTTGGCGATGGCCCCGTAGGCGTAATGATTGAAGCTGGTCATCTCACCAGGGTTGATTGATCCGTCTGGCAGCATACTGTCCCAGCGTTCCCAAGTCGTAGTAGCACCCATCGAGATAGCATACAGCCACGAGGGGCATTTCTCATTGAGAAGCATGGCATAAGCGACATTGCTGTGACCGGTCAAGGTGAGGGCTTCGCAGACAAAAGGTGTACCAGCAAAGCCAGTACCGATGCGGAAGGCATTTCGTCGAACAGTTTCTGCAAGCCGCGAGCCAGCTCGTGATAGCTGGTCCTCATTGAGAAGCTTTAAGCAAATTGCCAAGGAGTAGGCTGTCTGTGTGTCTGATACAAGGCGGCCGCTGGGGGAGACGTATTCTTCCGTGAACTCTGCTCGCGCTTTGTCGGCCCACGATCTGTAGAATGAATGATCTTTGGTCTTGCCAAGAACATCACAGACGCGAGCCATGATGTCAAGAGAGTTGATCAAAAATGCGTTTGCTACCAGTGGAGGATCCGTCGTAGCTTTGGCAGCATCGTCTGGGGGAGCACTTGGGTCAAGCCAGTCCTAGCTAGGTCAGCAAAGGTTGCCTTAAAGATTCGTGACGAGAGACTTACAGATAGTTGATCAGCATTGAAGTCCCAAAGGTGAGCGTAACGATCCTTGTTCGTGGGAATGACTTTGAACCACGTTTCCATAGACTCGAACTGATCAGCCAAGATGGCAGGATCAGCCGTTTCTTCATACAGCGCCCAAGGAGCCAAGACGACCACATCATGCCAGATGGCGCAAGGCCAAACAGGACCCCAGATCCTGCATTTGTCAAGAATGTTTGGCGATACCATTGGAGGCACTCCTCCCTGTCGCTGCTGGTCAAACCATACACCTTTGAGCCAGTCTCGAAGGATCGGGTAACAGCCGTAGATGTAGGTAGCTGTTGGCGCAAACAAGGCCAAATCACCAGTCCAGCCAAGTCGCTCATCACGCTGTGGACAGTCTGTTGGGATAGAGAGGAAGTTGTCTCGCATGCTCCAGCGGACGTTGCTGAATAATTGGTTCAGTTTACTATCGGAGCATGCAAAGGTTCCTTGTTCTTCCATATCAGTATGACAGACAACAGCCTCGAGAGCAGTGACAATATCTTGGTCTTCCGAAGGCCAATTGTCGATCTGAACATAACGGAAGCCATGATATGTGAAGCGAGGCTCGTATACCTCGGGTTCGGCATCTCCTCTCAGTGTGTAGACATCCGTGGCGTCACAGACGCGGAGAGGTCTAACACCAAGTTCTCCATTTTCGAGGACCTCTGCATGCTTCAGCGTGACTTCGTGGCCACGTTGTCCTTGCACAGCTTTGATTCGAACATATCCCACCAGGTTCTGACCGAAATCGAGGATTTCCTTGCCAGATGGTGTTATAATCTTGGAAACAGGCTTCAGTGTCTCAAGTCGTCTGACAGGCTCACGATAACCGGCTGTCAAGTTGACCTTTTCAGATATAAATGGCAGCGCATCGGCACGCTCCCAATGTCCAGCAACGTGCTCGTGAGAAGACCAGCCGGGTAACTCAACAGTAGCATCGTACTTTTCGCCATTGTAAATCTCGGCCAGGCGAATGGGGCCTTGAGCTACCATCCAGTCATCATCAGTTGTAATCAGCTGCGAAGAGCCGTCGGAATACTGCAATTCGAGCTGTGCAAGGAGGCTTGTGCGCGTGCCATATCTGTTGCGTATACCGCCTTCAAAGCTCAATCTGCCAGTGAACCAGCCTTCAGCAAGACGAACGCCCAAACAATTGTCTCTGCTGTCAAGAAGGTTGGTAACATCGTAGGTCTGATATGTCAACTCGTTGTCGTAGCAGCTCCAACCGGGTGCGAGGAAGTAACCGCCGACGCGACGGCCATTGATCTCTGCCTCGTAAATGCCCTGCGCGGTTATGTAGAGACGAGCTGATGCGATGCCCGAATTCAGCGTAAATGCTTTGCGGAAGAGATCCTCTGGCTTGGGCTTATCATTTTCCTTCTCTGACCAAGGAGCCGAAATGAATTTGCCTTTCCAGTCACTTCGGTTGAGCAAGCCTGTCTCCAGCCAAGCCCGCTCGCTCCAATTGGAAAAGGATGTTTCTCCCTTGCCACGGACGCGGATGCAAACAGTGTATCTCTGGCGCGAGGCGAGCGACTCATCAGCTGGCCAGGGAACTAAATGGGACTCTGATGATTCCACTTGAGAAGTGCAGACGACATGGCTTTTCTGGCTGATGACCTTCTCCAGACGCAATTCATACGCTTGCTGCTCAAAGCCTGGAGGGGCGTTGCTTAGACGCCAGGAAATGCGTGGTTTGTGCTCATGGACACCCAAAGTGTTTGGGCTGCGATAATGCTCAAAACGAACATCAACAACTTGCAAAGACATAATGACAAATATTTGGGTTCTAGGGAGAGACGCAATGCTTCAAATGTGTTGAGCTGCGGAGGCCACTTGACTGCTACTTTTTATACCTACAGCGCAGGACGCACTAAAGCCAGAGGCCCCAGACCCCGGAGTGATGAGTGGAGGTAGTGGGGTTTAGGCAGTTTCTCCGATTTTCACTTGGCCGATCCATCACGAGAGGATCGGTACAATCTAGCCCGAGTCTAGAGGGGGTGCATTTATCTATCGCCTCCCGCCGAATGACCCGTGTTTCTCGCTATTGACTCGCAGTTGTTGCTTTTAATGAGCCGACAGGTGCAGGCGAGATGCCACAGACTCGATTGCTAACCATCTGGCTATCGTCCCTCCAACGATTACCACCCATACCATGAAACAGCCCATTGTAGCCATGATGAGCGGACATCCAGCGAAAAATAGAAGTCGTCTCATTGTCGACAGATGTCGTCCTATAGAGACACCCGGAAATGCCACCTGGGTTCTGCTGTCAATGCTGTCAACAGTACTCATTGTTTGTATATATATTTAAGCTCAGAATGAGAATTGGAGATTAATCTATCTGCTATTGCTCAAGGACCGGAGTGAATGCATGGAGCCCACCAATGTGGATCGTTATCATGGTCTCTAGCGCTCCTTAGAGCATCATGTAATGCCTTCGCCACCAGATAATCTGTGTTTTCCCCCAATACGTTCTCTTTCAGAGACTCATAAAAGCTCTTAGTAATATGGGCATTAGAAGCGCCGTCGGCGTTTGACAAATATCCCACGACATGCCTAAATCCAGCCAATTGGAATGCACTGATGATGTCTAACCCTCCATCAGTCGATTGCTTGGCTTTGCCCTCTGCTGGGGTGTATAATGAGAGGAAAGCGATTTGTGCCTTGTCAAAGGTTGTCTTATTAGACAACAACTCCACTGTCAGTTTTCCGTCGTCTGCGCCTGGTGATAGGCGCCTGCGAACTTGAACGTAACTTTGGGACGGGTTGAGAGGATTAGAGTACCCGTGACAAGCAAAATGAATAACATGAGACCTGCGCAGATTTTCCAATACCTCTTCAAGTGATGGCTCTGAGAGTGTCTCTACCTTGAAGGTACCTCCAGGAGTCTCCTCCATCATCCGCAGCATTTCTGTAGGATCTGGGGGCCGACAGCCATCTGAATCTCTGGGCATCGTGACGAGCGTGACTGAGATCCCTTCGCCATTGTCGCTACTGGATGTAATGCTGCCTCTGGCTTCGATCAGAGACGTGATAGATGGAATGTAAGACGAGATTACATTATCCAAAGTGCTAGCCTCGGAGTTGCCTGCTGCGTGAAACGGAAATCCGCTGGCGATGCCAGTCCCGATCCACCAAACTCGAGGGGTTGACGATGATGACGGCGACCATGCGATCTCCTTGAGAATTGGGTCTACACACGCCGTCCAAAGCCAACTCAAAAACTGTTCGTCGTATAGATCCATGTCGCTCTCTATATCTAAACCCTGGGACTTTCTTATACAATTGAAAGCCTTGGAATGCTTGTCCAGAAGAGAGTTGCCATGGGGGGTTGCTTTTGGTAAGTTGAGGGACCTGATTCGTTCTCCGGACGGCAGGATAATGATGGCATCACTGCTAAGGGGAGTGATATTCACTATCACAACTGAGCCATGAGTGACTCCCTTGACCAAGTCGTCTATGTTTGGCAATGAGAGAAAATTCTTAAAGTCTGGTAGATTCCGTATCAGCGCAAGGCCAAAGTCATAGTCGTGGGCAAAGTCGTCCATTTCTGGCACTATCCGATCTTGTATAGTGACTTGGTCCATCGTATCAACAGCCTGGGCGGCTGTAGATCGCAACTTGTCAAAACGGATTGCCGAATCCTTACTTTGTTGTTCCAGAAGAGACAGTCTGTTTCCATACTTGATCAAATGGTATAAGATGATTTCACAACTGAATTCAATACTCAGAAGCGCTTCCTCCGGTTTTTCAACAAGAAGTGATAGAGAGCAAGCTTCGGCAGCGAACCTCGACATCTGTTGGATGGCGTGCTGCTGATCCTGGCCTGTGATGGTTGGATGACAGGCCATGGGCAGTAATTGCAATGCCTTTTGCGCAAGGGAATTTGCTTCTTCTAGCTTTCCGTGAAATTTGAAGATACGGATGACATCTCTGGCTGCCTCAATTCCCAGCAATGGGTGCGCAATGCTGTTTACTTGCAATCCTCTACCAATGTCGGCACGGGATGCCATAATTTCAACCTGTTCAGGATCGTTCTTATCCCAGGTGAGCTCCAACTGTCGAAATAGCATGATCCCAAGGTTGGTCAGGAATCTCAGTTGATTAAAATTGTTTTTGTCCAACAGACTAATGGCAAGCTCTGTCTTTTCAATCGCTTCTAGAAGATCATTCGTGTCTCCATTTTTCTCATAGCGTCGCAAAAGCCAGGCCCCGAGGTTAGCTATTCTAGCGGGTTTCTCGGTATGACTTTCGGGAGTCCAGGAGATGGTGTCCCTTGATAATGGTATTCCGACTGGGAGAATATCTGGATCCTGTTGCACCTGGTACTTCTTGAACAGGGTCCTAGCAAACTCATCCAGAGGGTTGGCTCGATCCTCGACATCATCTGGAATAAAAGGCAAAACTTGCCTCGAATATGAGGCCGCCAGCTCTATGTCGCCCAAGTTTCCCGACTTCTGGTATAAAAAAAGCGTTCCGGTACGCAAGTCAAATGGTAGCCTGATCCGTATTGCTTCGTGCTCAGCATTACTGGGATCTTCGTAAAAGACTTGCCAGCAGATAGTAATGGCTGCCCTAAGGTCTTCCAGGTCGTTCGTTTCTTCGTACCGATATTGGATGCCGGAACCCAGGGCTTCACCTATAATGACCATGTACCAGAGAGATGCTTCGCCTTCAGTGGGAATGTCCAATGAGCGCCATAGCAGCATCTGATGGCGTAACGATTCCCGAAGGTCATCTGTGTTTCCAGTTTGCTTATAACGGGTGATTAGTAGGTTCGCTAGTTCTTCCCGAGACTTTAATCCAATGTCGTCCTTCCCTGGCTTTGTCTGTACGTTTTTGGTGGCTTCCAAAATGTCTTGATCGAGTTTTTCCATATTGACTGTTCGGTGTCCCTCGCAATTGTCATTGACTTTGAGTAATGGATGTTACATCACGTAGAGGGGACCTTTATGATGCGGGGGTAAGCCCAAACGATTTTATGTATCCTGAGTTAGGCTCTGTGCCGCTTATCGACATGGTCGTAATGCCAAATGACGTACAAACCACCACTCGGGCGACCGAGCCACAGTAAGATGCTGTGCGGCTTGGCGCTTACTATTACCGGGTATGACATATCGCCGATTCCTCGTAGCAGTATGTATGTGCAAGTCCAGCTAGCCATGACATCATCCGCAATATCGTGACGCAAGACCATGTTATCAGCATCATCGCACATCGTAACAGTGCTTCTTTATAGGTTTGACAAGCCTGTTTCTATAGTGTTTCTATAGACGATACTTTATTGAGCAGCATTTGAACTACGAATCTAGAGATCAAGATATTATCTCTGTCAACGATAATTCGACTCCGGCCTCGCAGTCCAAGGACAGTCGCAGCCTGCGGGACAAAGCCTATGAGTCTGGAGGATGTGCATTTATCTATCCCCTGTTGCTGGATCATCTGTGCTTTTTATTACTAACTCGCAATTGTTACTTTCCATGCGCCGACGGATACAAGCAAGATGCCGCACAGCATAGAGACAAGTGTATGGCCCTGACACAAGTCAAACTCGGTTGCTAACCATCTGGCCACTGTCCCTCCAACAATTCCCATCCAAACCACAAAAAACCCTGTCTCAAACCACTTTTTCCGATCGCTATCCTTCTTAGATATTTCCGTGCTCGCTCTCATTGCCGTCCCCCACGTATCAGCCGTCATTGTCACCAAACTCCAGATGTGAATGGCTGGCAGAGGGATGTTATAGAAGAACATTCCAGGCACAACATACCATGATAAAGCCAGCCTCAATCTATCCGGATTGCGCAAGATGTTGTAGACTGTAGTAATACCGATTCGGAGAAACAGATCTGGATAGCTGAAGTAAAGCAGCTTCTGCGACGTGAGAAAATACCAGAGCACAGCGACCGCGGCAACTAGAGGTCCAAACTCGCGTCTAGCTGCGGCAAAGAATGCCATGGGGTGAGACATGGCATAGACACGAGGGACGAGAAGAGATTCGATGTGAGTGGCTCGGGCCCAGCGGACTTGCTGCCGCAACCAGCGTGTCGCTGTTGTCGGCGTCTCTGTGGCAGTAAGGACGTCAGAGGCAAAGACAACGCCCCAGCCGCGAACGAGAAGGTTAGTGGTAAGATGACGATCCTCATTAACGATCTAGCCAAGGTTAACGTTGTTCCCCAAACGTAGAAATAGTAAAGGCTATCTTGTCACGTACCATTCGCTTGCCAAAAACCTTCTGCATATACCAGGGCATAAGAATGGCCGACAGAGCTGATAGTCGAAAGGCAGTGCAAGGCCCGCTTTGGCAGTCACTTGTTGCGGTGCAAGCGGGCGTGGACCGGGTCAGATAGAGCTCGGCCCAGTAAACAGTGGCAGCCAAGCGAGTTACTACCGTGTCATTACCGTTATGTACCGTTAATCCCGAGCTGGCACCGCCAACAGTAGGATCTCCCGCAATGGTGCTAATGGTTCGCTCAAGCGTATCCTCCAGCACTATGGTATCAGAATCCGACGACCACATGAACTCAATGCCGAGCATCTCTGCAATAACCAGAGAGAAGATGAAACTAGTAAACATTATTCCCTTCTTGTGCATGTGTTGTTGCACGAGGCATATATGTCTAACGCCATCTCGATCGCCGATCAAGCAGCCCTGCTGATCAAGTATATGTCGAGCAAGATTCATACACTGCCGAATCACCACGCTGTTCGTTTCGCTTTCGTCCATCTCCTGCCCCTGCTCATGCTGCATTGATAAATGCTGATTATAGAGTTGTTCTGCCATATTACCTAAAGGCTCCTGTATGTGAATTATCTGAGACTGAGAAGGGTAGACCTGTAACCCCATTAGCAATGCCGATGAAAGAGCAGAACTACCTCAAAAGTAACAAAACCTTCTCAAACACATCTACCATGTCTTGATCTTCTGCATCGCTGCCATCAATGCCGACCAGCATAAAGGCTTGACAGCGAGCTGCCTTGTAGCTCTCAAGAGCTCGAGTAAATAACGCTGGGTCTTCGCGATATCCAACCACGGTCGATAAGCAGTCCAGCTTTGTACCAGTTCCTTTCATCGCAAGGTCAAATTTATCTCTATGCACTCTTTGAGGAGTCGAGTGGAAGGATATACGACGCCCTTCATTGGCAAAGCGATTGCATTCGGTAAGTATGATACCTAAGAGTATGTCTATTGTCATTGGGTACAGTGTTTGTATTGTAGCCAAGTAGAAAAATGGGATAATGAGGAGACATCCGGCGAAATTAAGAAGCTGTCTTAGTATCGCCGTATGTTGTCTACGGGAGGCACCAGTAAACGCTATCTGGGTTCTGCTGAAAATGCTCTCAACGGCAACCATTGTGTATAATCAAGAATGCCTCAAATGGAGTTAGAAGAATGAATTGGAAGCTACAAGAATATAGAAGAAGGAATGCCTGAGGGTATAAGAGCGAATTGTTGCCGAGAAGGCTACGCGGCTTCAAAGGTCGTGATGGATATGCTCGTATTACAGATTGGGTTAATGTTTACGACGCCGTTACGTATGCCAACCCACTATTTGAGTCAGTACCTTGCACATACTATTTAACGAGAAACTCAAAATGCCCTAGGAGTGATTTGTGATTGGTTGGTCACAGTACTGCTAATATTATAGGGTTGTTGTAATGTAGCCTTGCCCAAAATTCAGAGTTTATGCAGGCAATTCGGCATCTTGTAAAGGAAATGCGCTTGAATATCATTGTTAATAGGGGGAATGGGTGTCCACAATAGCAGATGTCCTCTTGATATTTCACTCCGTGAAGTGGAAGCCGATGGTTACACCGCGTCTCTGGGCCCTTGTGAAGTTTAAATTGCCCGAAACATGAAACAGAACATGATTCTGATAGCCGTCTACTCCGTATTCCCGAGGCTTCTACATCTTGTCTACTTGTATAGGGCCACCGCCTCCTCGGCTCACCCGAAAAGCCCTAAATACATCCACATGTTCGCTGATTCGCACTGCATGCATTTCATCAAACCCTTTCGCTCAAGAAGCAGCTATTAGTGTGTAGTCTGTACCAGTCCATCTGGCAGGGATGATGTTCACCACTTACAGGGAAAATCGGATTCTCCCACCTTCTATTATCGCCATATGCCTGGCACTATACTGCTACCTTCTCAATTCCTCTGTGGAAAGACTTGGCGCTAGGAGACTTCCTGATAATCCCCAATCTGAGCTGAAGACAAACTCGCTTTCGGAGCCAACGCACCAAAGTCTGCAAATGCAGCCTGATGGCCATGGAAAACTCGATGGCAGTGATGTTCTTTTGATCCTCAAGACTGGTGGGACGTCGATGTACCACCGCCTGCTTATTCACCTAGTCACCAGTCTCTCTCAGGAGCGAATAAACCCCCAGAATGTTGTGATATACTCGGATTATGAAGAGGCGATAGGCAACTTTACAACCATCGATGTCCTCAAGAACATGACAGAGGCCATCAAGTCACATCCTGATTTCGACGTCTACCATGCCCTGCCGCAATACGTCAAGAATAACGTCTACGTCGAGAGTGCAAATATAGAAGGCGATCATGAAGGCCCTGTCGGCGGCTGGGTTATTGACAAGTATAAGTTCTTGCCTATTATGGACCACGCTGGCAAGAACTGGCCCCATGCACGCTGGTATATATTCATGGAAGACGACGCATACATCTTCTTGCCTAATGTACTGGACTACCTGTCATCATTTGACTGGAAGGCACCACACTACCTTGGTAGCTCAGCTTTCTTAGCCAACGTCACTTTCGCACATGGAGGCTCTGCTTTCGCTCTCTCACGCGGCGCATGGGAGATGTCCTTCGGGAAGAACTCGCGACTTTTTGAGGACTTTGCTGAATACACCCGTCAGCACGGCTGTGGCGATCACATCCTAGGACGTGCACTGAACGAATATGGAATCCGGTTCGGAGAAAACGGCGGTGATGAGAAGTTTACTTGGGGGTTTAACGCAGTGGTGCACTGGAAGTTCGGTTTCAGTAGTGAGAACTGGTGCACGCCTCTTTTGTCGTGGCACAAAGCGCACAGCAGGGATATAGCGAGATACTACCAGCTGGAAAAGAACTGGGACTTCAAGGTCAGTCGGATTCCTCCTATGTGAACGTGAATGGAACCCAGTTATGCTGATACCGAAGCAGAGGCCCATGCTATTCAAAGATTTCTTCACACTGATTATTGCTCCAGATCTGGGTAAGAGACGAGAATGGTGGGACAACCTGTCCAGCCTCTTCGATGTCACTTCTGCCAACGCAAATTCGCCTCCGGCTCCGCATTCCAACTACGATCGCAGTCTATGGGCCAACGCATGGAAGTCTGCGGATGCGTGTGAAGCAGCTTGTGAGTCGTGGGACGAGTGTATGCAGTGGAGCTATTACGATGACTTGTGCCGCATGGACGACAAGCTAACTATGGGGTCTGGATTTGCACCTGGCATGTATCAGAGGAGGACGAGACTGTTAATTACGAGTGGTTGGCTGTTGCCTCGAATCAAGAATTGGGAGTGCAAATAGACACTTGGGCTGATGAATACATTCGGTAGAAGAAGCACGAATAGTTCAACATTATATAATAGTTTGAGTAACACAATCTCACTAGACTCTCAACCCGTCTTCGAGACTCTCAGGTCTGCTGCTAGAGAAGTCTTTAGTGGAAAGCTAAATGCAATCCACTGCTCAGTAGAGCTGCCTCCAGATCTATCATTGTCGGTTGGTGATCTCTTCTTGAGAGTATGACCAATCTTGGGAAGCTCCAGCAGGTCAAATGAAGTTGGTTGAGACGTGACTAATACCTTGAGAGTATCATGGCACTCTTCAATACCTTTCTGTCTCAGCTCATCGGGTACCATGGTCCTGAACTTCTTGGTAAAGCTACCTGTCATGAATCTTTCATTGTGGTTGTATGGAGGGACCACTGCGTAGCTACCGCAATAGATATCCTCAATCTGCCAAAGAGGACCCAGGTCAAGAATGTACAGATACAGAACTTTTGTGCCGTGGTTCTGAAGCCTCAACTCGAACATGGCTGTCTTGCCTCCATCTTGTTCAACGTTGACAAGAGTGCCTGGACCAAAGTGATCCCCTGCTCGGACAATATTGATGTCGAATGATGTTCGGAAGTCCTCTTCCACAAATGGATTTGTGAGGCTTCTGACAAGCTGGTATCGAGCTAAATGCTCCAAAACTGCAGCAAGATCATCTGCAGTTGTTTTGCTTTGTGGCAATGAAGGGAGGTTCATCACTTCTTCACCATCTCGAGTCAGAATCCTGTATTCGTTGTTGATAACTTGGACATGAAACCAGGATGCCAAGGCCTGCTTGCCGGCTTGGGCGATCCCATATCTTGTCAAAGCTTCTGGCCAAGTATTTTGGGAAGATATCTTGTCGCTGAACGAAACTGAGAACTGGCCAAGAGCTCGTCTCGTTTGTGGTTCAGCAACCCAGTCATTTTCAGATGTCACAGCGGTAGAATCGTCCAAGAGTAACAGGCTGGTCAAAGGGCCAGCTCTTTCAACCGTTGTTTTGACCAGATTTGTGTGAAAGGCCTCGTTGCTCTCAAGGATGCTGGAAGGGTACAGAATGAACTCATCGCCATCGGATACACCATGAGCCTGACCCGCCTGCAATGCAAAATGCTGACCATTTCTCACAACAAGTACCATCGATCGTGAGTTCGTAAAGTTGTTCTCACCAAAGAATCCCTGGTCTTTGTTCCCATACAAGGCAGGATTTTGCTGGATTGAGTGGCCACGAAATTTGGAGCTGAGACGGTAAAAGATGTTCTTGTGTTTGCGATTCAACCCGCCGTCTCTTAGACTCAGGTTTAGAAAATGGGACAAGGCACCATGCGATTCTCCATTATGGATGATCTCGCTCGCTTCTTCATGAGGACCGCAAGCTGCAAGAAGTGCATAGCCATTTGGGTTTATCAACCAGCTTGGCAGCATAGACACATCACGATAGTCTGAGTTGGGCGCTTCCTCATCTTGCTCTGACGAATTTTTGTCGGCGAAGTATGCAGATGCGAGATCTGGATCAATTCGAAGGAATCGAATATCGGGACGGTCCAAACGATAAATACTTGCTGCGAAACAGCAGTCAAGCACCAGAGTGACAACCAGACCCTTCAACACCATTGCGTTTAGAGAAACTGCTAGCCTGTACCCTCCAAGCGGCCTCACTTCGTCTCCATTCTCACCACCAAGAAGGGCGAGAGCCAAATCTCCAGTATGCTGGTTGGAGAACGCCTTGGTGGTAGGAGCGATGCGGGTGCCATGGCCAGAGTAATGGATGTAGATGTAATCTCCAGGTTGAGCAGCGTCGGTCAGGTCTCTGAAAGCCTTAATCACGTTTTGATCAGTTGGTAGCGTGTCAGAATCTTCAACTGGTCTTGTGATGCTGTTATCAGAGCTTTGCGTAGCTGTCAGGGCTTGGATGTTGATGTGAAAAGGCTGCTGTTCTAGTAATGATCTGATTTGCTGTGTATCGCGTACACAGCCCTTCAGCGACGACTTGTATTTCGCAGGATAAGCGTCGATGCCAATTAGGATAACATGATATCTCGGAGGAGCAGACTGATCTTTGGCCATTGTTTCGTTTAGATGGTCTTGAGCTTGGTATGCGACATTATTCACAGGACCCAACTTATCGCAAGTCTTATCGTGAGGGGTAGCAAGAATATGTACGTGATTGGTCTCACTCCATGGGGTCTTATGCATATGCATTGTTCTTTCAAAGTACTTTGCCTTCTGGCTGCCTTAGCTACACTGCCCCATATGCACTTCTGCCTGAAAAGCCACCAAAACGATGTGAGGAATCATGTGCCCCAGCAATGCAATGCGTCCTTATCATTATTTTCCCCGCCATGGTCGCTCAACAGGCCTCGAGCTCATCCACATCAATGTCCGCATTGTTTCTGAATGGGCTCCCATTGGTATAACAAAGCGTGCATTGTCCGGAAACTGGGGCTGTCGCAACAAGATACGGGCCCTCTCTGGATCCATCCGTGTTCAGCAAGTACACGCTATCTCCTACTTTGAGGCTCGGCGCCTGCACAGCCTGATTCAGTACAAGAGTTGGGGCTAGCCAAGTGACAACAATTACGTACATTATCATATACAGCCACGAATGGTCGCTTACCGCCTGGGGTGTACTCAGGCGATGCATTCTTTCTGGGAGTGACGAGCATTAGCTTACTTCCAAGTCCATGGTTTCAACCACTTACTGCTGGTCATCAGACATTTTGGACGGACGCTAGTGGAATTGCGAGAAAAGGGAAGATGAATCAACGAAACCATAGCGGGTATTGGACTTATGTATAGTGCCCACCTGGGCCTCGACTTGCATGTGCACGTGGGGGCGCTTCATTGGATGCCTCAGGGGCCGGCTCAAAGATTAAAGTAACTGGGATCTCCCTGAAGGTGGCTTGTAAAGTCCTAGAATCTTGCATAAGGTCAGTCCGTTTGTGTGCCAGCGATCACACCTTGACGACACAATGACGGGTCAGCCCATTCTTCCCCTTTCGGCGACTCCAGCGCAATCACCGAAACCTCAAACGGGGAAAAGTAAAGTGCCTCTTCAACAACAGGGACTTGATTTTCTAACCCCCAGATAGTTGAAGATTTCAGGCCAGGCTATCCGAGATTCACAGCCCTTATCGCATCACATAGCCCTTTTTTCATCTTTCGACGCTTCAACAGACTAAGAGCAAGGCTGCTGCTGCTAAAACAAGACCAGCTGTCGATTCTAGAGAGTGAGCTCGATCAGATAGATCAACAGGAAAAGGCACCTATCTTTCTTGGCAAGAGCCGCATCGATAGAAATGCTAAAAGGCTATCAGTCTTATCAAGGATCGAGTCTGCACTGGTCGATTATGGTATGAGTTCCTGTTTGACTGACCGCATCCGTCCTATTAACAACATAAAAGATGGTTTTATAGACAAAACTAATCTAGCATTGACTCTCAGCGATGCGGAATCAAGAGATGTGCAGAGCCTCAAGAACTGGGTTGAAGGAAATGGTTGTCTGGCTGGGAACGAGACATCTTACCTCGAGCATGACCGCGACCTTGTCTCACTAGTACCAACAATTGACAACGCAGTTAAGCGGTTTGAGAGTTGGATAGAAGAACGTCTGGTACAATTTCTACCTAAATTTCGAGAAGTATGCCAAGTCCACCTCACAGAAGATGACAATACTAATGAGATAGAAAAACCGATATGTTTCGTGTGATCCAAACGTCCATATATACAATGGTCCCTTTGTGGGCCGTGTCGCCAAAGGGCTACTAATATGCCTGGTCACTCTACTCTTGTTACTACCAATTGTTGTCTGTAACGTCGTGTCGACGGCCGCGGTGAGGATTTTCATCGTTATGATGTCGACTATCGTATACCTTTTAGTTCTTTCCGGGTTGACGAGAGCAAAGACCACCGAACTTGTGGTGGCTGGTACGACGTGAGTGGACACATTTTGGCTTAATTGCAACATACTAACATAGAGTATAAGTTATGCTACAGTTCTCATTGTGTTTGTTTCAGGCACTAGTGATAAGGCACCTTGATGAATGGGATACCCTCTCATGCGATCATGGGTTCATCGGCGCGAATAGAACCCAATAGCCAGCCTTTTCCATTGACGGAGCCCAGCCGGCTATGAACCAAAGTCCAGGTCAGCTCTTTGAGAACTAAACAAATGACTCAACAGTTTAGTCCAGATGACTAGCGGTGGCATGTATTTTCAGTGGTCTCTACACCCTAGCTTCAGGGTCCATATTGGCAGCCGCAACTTTGCAAGGTTCGCCAACACTCGAGACAACTTGGCCATTAGCTGAATAGCAATACACATCCTGATAAACTCCTTCTAGTCCCTGTGGAGGTGTAGCTAGAATCTGATGGTAGAGTGTCACCTCCCCAATGGCCATCAGCGGCTCAGAAGACGACTCGTTGAAATAGACAGTATTGCGCTGACACTTGTTTGTATTGAGAAGTTGGGGAATGTTCAAGAGCGAGTGGAAAGTGTGAGCTGTATAAGGGGAGCTGTCTGTTATTTTGAACGAAATGTCGAATGCTTCAGCGTAGATTCCTGGGCCAGAGATAGTGTTTGGTAGAAGAAAGGGTTTCACCTGGATACTATTGAAGCCATTGGGGAGAACCCTCGCAGCTGACGTATCAGGAGAAAATGTCGCCGGGAAGATAGTGGTTCCCTCAAAGGGCGAAACGCCTGAGGCGACACTGGGCACAATTGCCTGGAGCGGTTGTCCGTTAGTCCCGCCTATGTAGTAGTTGACCGGGACGCCGATAGGTGTTTGTCCGTCCTTTGTGACATCAACAAAGGGCACTATAAGAGAAGCCTGCATGAGCGCGTCTATCTGTAGTGGGACAATGTTCAGTGCCGTCATGCGAATATCCTTGTCATAGCCAGCTTGTACAATGAGCGGGTGTTTTCCAGCTGGGAAAGACGGCAAGATGCTAGTGTCGATGCTTAAAGGATCATATCCAGTTATGGTCTTGACGAGAGATTTGCTGATAGGGACAAGGCAGTATGCTTCGACTCATTGTCAATGGACTGCAAAATTGTTAAAAATAGCTTGCTTATACGTACTGGTATTGGCTGACATTGTCCTATTGGCTGGATTGTACCTTGCCAGGGTATTGGGGTCAGCCTGAGCCTGGCAAAAGGACACTAGGAGACCAGAAACGGGAAGAATGGTCGACAGCTTCATTGTGGACTTGCTACGTGCATAAATCGTAAAAAAAGCTGATTTTAAAACTTGGTAGAGTCTTTCGGCAGCTGTATTATTTATAGCCAATACATGGTCTGTAGACAAAAGATGCAAAGGGCTGATGGCCTTGCCGAATGCAACCTCCTTTCGACGACATTTGACAACATTGCAGGAAGCATAACAAGATTCGAGTGATACATGTACCGCGTATGCAGTACTAGTGAGAACCGGCTGAGCGACCTCGATCACGGCTGGTTTTTCGATTGTCGGGGATAAGGGCAGCCCACCGTCGATCCTGAGATGGGCGACGGCTTTGCCAGGCCTGCTGAGACAACGCGAACTCCCGGCCTTGAAGTATGGTCCAAGCTTCCCGAGACGCCGATCATGAGTAGGGATTCATTTTGTAAAACCAGACTGACGGCACCGTCGCTTATATATATCATTTAAGCTGCCCTCGATAGCAATCTTCTAGGGACTTGTCGTAAAGAAAGAGATGATGAAAACTGGGAAATAAGGGTAAACATGGCAAGATGAAAGCAGGTATACCACGGGCATTGATGGCGTCGCGTAATGGGCGACCGCACGGACAGGTCTTTAGTGATCATCCCTGTTGTTGCAGCCCGGAACATGTACGATCCGCAGCATGTCTTAGATATACTCAATAGTCGGAAGCGCAAGTAAGCCTCGCCGTCATACATTTCACCAGCTGACAAACTGTTTAACACACCGCCCAACAATATTTTCTCCTCCATCGTGAGACATGGATGTTTGCGAAAGCCCCCGCATCACCCAACCAGATGATAACAATTATTGTTCCACCTCAGCTCATACGCGGTAGTGAGAATCTGTTATAGTCTGGCCTTCGGAAAAAACAGTGTAATATTTACTCATTCGAATTATCCAAGGTCCTATGTTAAACACCATAGTGAATATAAGGAATCTATGGCGGATACATAGGCTCCTCGTCGCAAGTCAAAACATCCCTCGAGAATCCGTCAAGAGCTGTTCCTTCAAGTTCCTCTACATCGCCTCTCTCACTTCTGATAGTTCCAACCTGTGAAATCCCAATTGTCCGGTGATCAGTCCCAGCCAATGTCAACCAGCGGTCTCGGAGCTCTCTAGAAGCTTCATGAAGCCCACGAGAGACTGCTTCATCCGTCATGCCATTCTGCACCATTCCTTCGTAAGTAATCCTGGCCATATCTACACAGATCTCATCTTTGACTTCCCATAAAGTCCCGATGACATGGCGAAATCCAGCTGTGTGGAACCCATTGATGAGGTGGATTCCTTCATCCGCTAGGTGATTATTCTCGATACGTCCAGTGCCACAAGCTGACAGATAGGCAAGAAAGGGGGAGCGACTATGTAGGTTTATGTTCAATAGGTCCAAAACAGTTAGACACTTTTCTCTTTCTTCGTCCAGACAGAGATAGCTTCCAATTGGGTCCTCGGGATCCGTGCGGGCATGGCCTGCAAAGTGAAATATCCCGCATTCAAGCAAGCTAGACAGAATATTGTCCCTCGCTGGTTCAGGCTCATCTGGTTCGATGAACATTGGCTTGCATATGCCACGGATAGCTGCTATTTCCCTGGTTGCGAAAGGGAGTTTTGAGCTCCCAGGAGTGGCTTCCATCGCGACAAGCAGTGCGTTTGTCTGGGTCGCAGCCGAAGAAGGTCGCTTTCTACCACGGATGATTGACTGTATAGAACCGTGATAAGACGAGATGACTCTATCGATGACGGTTTCGGAAGAGCCTTTCAAGTGGTTGCCAGCAGCGTGAATGGGAAACTTGTTCAGAAGTCCTGTCATAATCCACCAAACATGAGGCCAGTCTCCCTCAGAAGGGGGTTTGTCAAATCCCAAGGTGCTCAATACAGGGCTTGCAACGCAGTCCCATAGCCATTGAAGGGCCTTGTCGCTTTTGAATGTCCCGTTTCTGACATACTCAATCATTTCGCGCCGGTTGAAGTCAGTCAAAGGCACAGATGTGATCTGATGACTCTCGACCAAAATCGCATCGCAACGAAGCATACTTGTGTTGATAATGACAATAGGGCCGCGTTCTGCCGCCGACTTGATTGCGGCTTCTGAAGGAGGTAGTAGAAAGGCCTCGAAGCCCGCCTCCTGCCTAATTTCTCCAAGTAATCTTTCAAACTCGTCGCCGGCCTCGTGACGCCGACTCTCGTCGACATTCCATTCGGGATCCTCGGTATTCAGTGTCCTTCCGGAGGCTGAGGAAGCCGAGAGCTGTTCACGAAGTGTAATGAACTTCCGGGCGAGATCAGGACACTGCTCTTTCAGAGATCTGATATCAGCACGCATCTCATCCAGAGATAGAGCAAATATGCCTCGTCCCTTCTCTAGAAGGCTCAGCGCTACCAATGGATCTTCACCCAAATGGAGTGCTAGACCGGCCGCCTCGGACGAAACCCCGCCTATCTTAAGCAAAAGATCCTGCTTGTCGGAAGTCTCGAGTGACCGCACAGCCATTTGCGGAATGAGGTCCACGACATACTTGGCGTCCTCGTAAGCCTGCTCCATGTTTTTCTGGACCATGCATACCGAAATCAGTTTCATACCGGCCTCAATACGTGCCACGATTGGTGACTGTGTTTGAAAGAGAGCAGCTCTGTAGAAGAACTCTGTTCGCTCAAGATCTTCGGGTGACTCTGTTTCCCCGTATCGCTTTGCAAAGAACAGTGCGATCAGAGACATGGTATCGGCCTGCTGTGGGTGGTTTGGCCCCAGAGCGAACAGTGCTTTCTGGGTCAAACCAATAGCCTCGTCGAGATCTCCCAGGTCTTCCGTCATCTGGTATCTTCTCTGCATAATGGCTCCCAAATCATGTAGTCGTGCCGGCCACTCGGTGTGCTCTTTGGGGGTGGCGTCTTTGGCCTCTTTTCCCATCTGAACACATTCATCTAGATCCTCTAAGGAGCCTGAGCTATCGAAACGAGCAATGAGACAGGCTGTCAGATTTCCCAGACGCATATGCCTCATGGCACTCTCTACCGGTGTCGCGTGTACTGAGCCCTTAGCTAATGCAATTGCTGTGTCCAGATCGAGTTGTTCATCAGTTCGGAGGTATAATGTTCGAAGGTATCCCGATAGATTGCAAGCATGCGTCGCCCAAACATCAGACCCCTCAAGAGTCTCTTCAAACGCCATTGTTGCTATTCTAATAGCTTCTAGAAGATCTCCTAGCGCCCCGGTTCTTATGTGTCTATCTCTGAGGCCGACAGCTAAGCCAGCAAGTCGTGTCACCCGTTCGGGATCATCAATCGATGTTGCATCGATGGCCTGTCTCGAAACCACGATGTGTTGATTGAGGTCGTCTATTGCACCGGTGAGGACATGTCTGTCAGAGAAACTGCCTGCGAGTAGATGCAGTAATGTACTTCGGGATGAGTGATCCTCTGGGGAAGATTCGAGCGTTTTTTGGGCCATGATAATAGCCTCTTCTGAAGCAGAGACTGATCCTGTTCGTTCGCTTTGTGTCCGGAGCCTGACCATGAGATCAATCACGAGGTCTATAATATCCGGATCATCCTCCGACGTGTCATCAAGTGCTCGTCTAGCCAACTCGATAGTCTCTTCCAGATCTGAAAGTGATCCTGTGAGTGTATATCGAGTGTAGATGCTATTTCCAAGATCCGTCAACCATTGGATCCAAGACGGGTCATTGTTTTTCGACAAATTAACAGACTGCCTAAAGACTTGAATGGCTTCATCTAGGTCTTTCGGGTCTCCCTCGAAGTGGAACTTGTGACGCAACAGGCGGCCTAGGCTATTAAAATATTTTGCAGCCACCGGGCTGTCATGGGGGACAACTTCCACCGCTTCTCGGGCTACCGAGAGAACCTCTGTAGGATCGCCCTCTCCATTTCTTGAGAGATAATGCTGCCGAAGCAGACAGCTGAGCTCGTATAGATGACGTGAACGCTCGGAATCCCCATCCGGTCGGCTGCGAATAACCTGGCGCAGCGACGCAGCATACTGGTCCATCGCCCTACTACTATAAGAGAGGCTGGAATCGGCAAGGGGCTGGCTAGACATTTTTTTGTGCAATGATATAAAGAGATATCATGATCAGTAAATTACCTCCTACAGGAAAGTCTAAAGTAATTACTCGGAGGAGTTGTGAGAGGCTTAGAATTCGAAGCTTTGTGATGAGATTGTGTACTTTCATCCAACTTTCAAGGCACTTTGTCATAAGACGCAGTGTTTTAACTACAAGTAATTCATTCATCGGGAGGGAGCAACTGGGCAGCAATGCATAATGGATAACCTTGTGTAACTAAACCAGGCTTGAAAATGAACCAGTGATTGGCTCTAGGGTATAATGACGACAGCTTATGTTTCCTCATCTTAAACAAGGTCAAGGCTACTGCCTGATATAATTATGAAAAGGCGTAAGCAACACGTCTACACAGTCATCTTCTCGGAAATATGTGGTATCTGGAAACAGGTAGCTAAATGCGTTAAAGTGAGCTCTAGTGATTCAGAGATACACAAATTGGATGTTAGAAAATGGGTGGATTGTGTCTTGTTGATAAGTCAATTTGGAATAGGGAAAAGGACGCTAAGATAAGCCAGGCGAGTTGAAGCGGATTATGGATCTTCCGTTACACGTTTATCCCGGCCAAACCGGAAAGCAATCCGGTGCTTCCTCAGGCCCACTAAACGATTTGAAGGCTAGCGAATGTGTTCGACCGCCCCGGCCCGCGCCGCTTGGTCACATACAATGCCTGCCATCCGGCCATTGTCGTCGCTCTGGATTTACCCTACCTACTATGCATGTTAGTTTTACTAAGTGCTATGTGTGTTTAACGGATGAGTGGCTCTAGAGCATACAGTTGAGATTTTGAGGTTATCTTCTATAGTGATACAACATGTCCCAACAGTCACGACATTGGAACGCAACCTGTCCAAAATGTAACAAACAGCATGCCCCGTGTTACAAGCGACGGCCCGTACTGTGTTCGTCAGTCGACGCCGCTCGGCTGAATCGTTCGGAAGAGTCAGCAATGACTATATTTTCAGGTATGACATGGGATTTGGCGAGGTAAGACGTACAGGCATCCTTCTTAATTCGGCATGCCGAGAATGGCTGTAGGATGAATATAATGAATAATCAGACAACTAGGCCAAGATTCATTTAGGCAGGTGGTCATCAGCATACAGCAGATAAGAGCACATATAATTATTTCGATCCAGTTTCGAGGTAACACCCCGATCCTTTGTTAGTAATAATTCCCACTTAACTAATGACCGGCCCATGCAATACCCCTGTTAAATAGAAAATTCTAACTTGATCACACTACCCAATGCAGGATCTCTCAAATGACCTTAAGAATGACACATGTTGTTTATGCAGTAAGACGGATGTTTCCCTTATAAATAAACAGCTGTTCCAAGACCTGGCCTTTATGATTGGAGGGAATTCTGGCTGTATGTTGCTAGTGACTTAGCTAGCGAGGTCTCTTTGTTGGCTCCACCCTGTCGAATGGTACCTTTGAGACCGATAGTCAGTACGTTTTTGCACCCTGAGGAATCAGTGAGACAATTACTGCTATTGAGTGATTGGTAAGAATACGGTAAGTTAAACCCTGCCCAGGGCGGAATGTAAGCGATCGTCGAGATAGCCAATCGTTACGTAGCCGAGGGTTATTCCATGCTTCCTCCAATTTATTAATCTTCGATGAGTGAGGTCTCGTGTCCACACGAGATATAGAATAACATGATGATGCCCCAAGTATAAGTATGTGGCCTATTCCTCACTTCGAACCACTCTTTCCATAGCTCAGGCACAGCTTCAGAACATCAAGAAAACCTTCCTCCATACACTACAAAACCCTCCTAACATTCAATTCTCGGAAGCTTCTTGCCCACAAGTTCGTCATCATGGTCGCAGCCAAATTCATCATCATGGCCATGGCCGCAGCTGTCACAGCCACTCCAGTCGCATCAGCCCCCAAAGCTGAGTCTACTTCATGGTCACCTCTCAACATCGAGGACAAGATTGATTGGGATGGCATCGACAAGAAAGCCTTCAACGACCCAGCCAACTGGAACAACACCGCCTCAGCCGGTATTACCAAAAAACCTGCTGATTCCATGACAATCTTGGCTGGTCCTTGCGAGCAGGGTACTTGCCCTGACTACTTTGCGGCTTTCGACCTAGTGTACACCTTCACCGCCGTCCCTGTTCCCGGTGATCCTCCCCTGACAATCTTCTCCTCCAACTCTGACATCCGAGTCAACGACTGCAACAACTGTCAGCGCACCAAAGTCGGCAGCAGTCTCGGTGGCACTGTTGCAGGCGGTTGCTTGGACTTCACCTCGTGTGGTCGCCCTCAGACAATTTGCGTTGACCCCGGCAAGACCCGTGCCCACAGAATCTGGAAGGACAAGAACGTCAAGACATGCTACAATATGAAGGTTGAGTATCTGGGAGATTGCGGTTCTGTTAAGTCTCGGATTGTCCTGCATCCTACTGGTGAGACCGCGTGCAACTGGTAGAGGGTGCAAGGAACTTTTAATATTCTCACTATCGTTCAGACAACATATTAGAAACAGGATACAATGAGGGAGGGGGGGGGGGGGGGGCAAAGTTAAATAGCGCAATATGAAAACCCTTCGTAACTAATAAGATCAATTTCTCTAGAAATAAGCCTGCAGCACCGGACTTGAAACCCAGGAGCTCTTAAGAAGCTAACGAATGGCATTTAATAGACCATATAACTAATTAGCTCCCATAACCAGTGCCACGGACAACCCCCAATATTCACAACAAGTTGGACATTTCGGACAACCTTCCGAGGCTAGCCAAGACTTCAAGGTAAGTTAGTATATTTCGGCTCGACTCGCGTTACCCCATGCTAGCTACGTTAAAGCGGTTAAGCCAGGACGCAAGGTATCCAATACGAAGCTAGAATTCCCACTGACATCACTAATCCTTCTGTTGTACTCTTCTTGAACACCTCTGGTCTTGGACCTATAATACCTGCGTTTAGACTGGATCTCACGCCATTCTATCCAAAGGTTTCATAAACAAAAGGCTGCTCATCAGGTCACTCATGGAAAAAGTACTTTAAGTAATATCAGGTCTGGAACAAAGTACTGTATTGAGACCCCTGTAGCTATCACTACCTCCACACATTTCGAGGTCGCTAGGGTTAAACAACCTCTTTAGCGGTCTCACTTGCCCCATGAGTGACGTTACCCAACTTCCTCTGCTTGCGCCATTCCTCAGCGTACCGAACTCCGAATCCATGCTCAAAGACGACACGGATCTCCTCCAAGGTCATTCCTGCAGCCTCGGGATAGCAGAAGAAGACAAAGACAAACCCAATGAAAGACAATGCAGCGTAAAAGCCAAAAGTACCCGAGGGGAAGATCCCACGCATCATTGACAAGAAGGTTGATGAGACAATGATATTGGGACCCCAATTGCACATGTTGATCATCATGGTGCCCATTGCACGGACTTCCATGGGGAGGAATTCATTGGCCTGCCAGGGCACACAGCCAAGACCAGCGGCGTAGCTGGCTACGAAGAGAATCATGGAGACAAGGACAACAATGGCAGGCCACCCAACCTTGTCCTCTGTGAGCTCCAGAGTCTGCCGATCAATGGGGATCTTGGTGAACACTCCAGCTGCCAGCAGGAGAAAGACGGGCATTCCCCACATGGTCCAGAGCAAGAGTCTGCGACGACCAACTCTGTCGATAAGGAAGATGGAAGCAAAAGTAAAGATCCAGTTCGTGGCGGTCACAATGGTACCAACCGCAATGGGGTTATCGAATCCAACGATCTGAAAAAGGGTACTCGAGTAATACATCATGGTGTTAAAGCCACAGAGTTGCTGGGTTGCCATGAGACCACAGGCGACAATAGCGGCTCTGCGATTGGCTGGAACAGTCACAAGACTCTTGAGAGATTGGCGAACTGAAATCTCTTCGTTGATAGACTTTGCCTGTGTCACACCGTATTGTATATCGGTCATCATCTGAGCTACCTGGGTCTCGTTGGCCGTCGGATACATCCGTTGCAAGACTCGAAGACATTCGTCGGATCGATTATGAAAGCACAGTTGGCGAGGTGACTCGGGGCACCAGAATAGAAGAATTCCAAGGAGGATAGACGGGAGTCCTCCCAAGCCCACCATATATCGCCAGCCATGAGGGACTTTGTAGAAGGCTGCATCGAAAGCATAGGCGAGGAGGGAACCGGTCGCTAGGAACACCATGTCGATCGAGATCATTCGGCCGCGGTACTTGGCTGGTGCAATTTCCGCAATGTAAAGTGGGATAATCTGGCTCGTGTATTAATAAAATGGACTTTGCTGTCCCAGGGGCCAAAGCAACATACCATCGAGGCTGAACCGACACCAAGACCAACGAGAACTCGACCAACACACATTTGGACCAGCGTGTATGAAGCAGCCTGCACAACAGCGCCGATGGTGAAGAGCACCGAGGCAAACCAGATAGCAGGCTTTCGGCCGTACTTGTCGGCAGTGATTCCTGCAATGATGGCTCCGATGAACGCACCAGCTGCGCAAAGAGCAGTGATGAGCTCTTTGTTACTGGGGGTCAGAAGGCGACCGTCAAGGCCATCTCCAAGAACCACGAGGACACCAGAGATGACTCCAGTGTCGTAGCCAAATAGCATGCCACCAATGGCGGTTGCTACAACGCAGAGGTTGAGGAACAGGCCAGGAGCAGAGTCTTCGATGAAGTCTTGTCCCCCTTTGGTGTCATTTTCGACGTGGCTGACTTGCGTCTGGGACGACTCCAAGACTTCGTCGTTCTTTGCCATCTTGTATGGAGGAAGTAGGTTAAACAAAAAATATGATGGAGCTGATAATGCACGAGAGAATGAAAGTGATGATTCCTGCTTTTTATACTTGTGTATCAGAGTTGAGGGCGCCTATGATGAGGTACAGACCTCATCTATCGGGAATCCCAGGACTAGCACCGTGTGTCTAGACCAGTGCTGATGGTCTCGCTAACCAATGAGCGTGCATGGAAATGGTTCTCGGATCAGAGCGTGGCCAAACCTTGATTCTGGGGTAGAAGCGGAGAACCATCACATCACTCTCTCTCCCCATGGGGTTGAGGTAGACGAGCCTTATTAGCGTGATGGGAATTAAGCCCGGCAGTCCGTGGTCGAGATACTCCAAAAGGATGGGAAAGTGTATCCGTTGTCAAGGTAATTACCATGTAGGGTGAAGAAGCCATGACTCGTGATCCTTGCTCCACCCATCATTATCAGCTGGGCAAGTCTATCCGTTCAAATGGCTAGTCTCTCCGAGTCATCCGACCCGCATTTCGGCGGGGGAGTGGATGATGCCCAGAAAAGTAAGTCGGCACTGAATCTGGGCATTCTTTTCCGCACCAAGTCAACCAGTCCAAACTTGCAACAGACGACCAGCTTCAAATGGCAGAAAAGGTGGTCGTGTTCAAGACAATGTTATCCACCAAGAACATGCAGATGTGGAGAGCCTATGGAGACTATGGGAAGTCATCCGGGGAACCTACCTCTGCTGAGCTTCAAGCAGTTGTATAAGACCAATATAAATGCAAGTCCAATGCCTCCTCATTTCTTGCCAATCACCCAACACCATCTCTCTTAATCTTATACTCTACCCATCATAATGGCACCTCAGAAGCTCAAGATTGCTGCTGCTGGCCTCGGCCGCATGGGCAAGCGTCATGCCATCAACTTTCTCAACCGAACACCCCGTGCAGAGCTCGTGGCTGCCTTCACCCCCGACCCCACCGAGATGGCCTGGGCCAAAGTCAACCTTGAGCCTCATGGGGTAAAGCTATATGATGACTATCAAAAGATGATTGAACAGGAAGGTCTCCAGGCTGTTGTAATTGGTACGGCGACCTCTGTTCACGCTGAGGAAGCCATCCAAGCTATGCAGAAGGACCTCCACGTTCTCTGTGAGAAACCTCTATCTACGAGCATTGAAGTGGTTAGTACTATTTTTCCGATACTCATATCGCCCAGTCTAATTATCCCAGTGTCGCCAAGTTGTTGCCGAAGCCAAGAAGCGACCTCACCTAAAGGTCATGTGCGGCTTTTCCCGCCGTTTTGACGACTCCTATCGCGATGCATTCAGCAAAGCCCAGCAGGGTGCCATCGGCCGACCTACAATCATCCGCAGTCAGACTTGCGATAAACACGACCCCTCAGGCTTCTTCGTCGAGTACGCTGCTTGGTCCGGCGGTGTTTTCGTCGACATGTCTGTGCACGATATCGATCTGACTCTCTGGTTCTTCGGCGATGAAGTCATTCCTAAGAGTGTGTCTGCCCATGGTGTCCGTGCCGTTCAGCCCGACTTGGGCAAATACAACGACTACGATAACGCTGTTGGAATCGTCGAGTTCTGGGGCGGCAAGATCGCGTACTACTACTGCTCTCGAATGATGGCTCACGGACAGGAGGATACCACAGAGGTTATTGGAACTGAGGGAAAGCTGACTGTCAACGGCAACCCCCAGTCCAACCTTGTCAATTACTATCACTCTGGCGGTATCACCCGCGAGGTGCCCGCTCACTATTACGGGCGTTTTGAAATGGCTTTTGTGCAGGAGGCGAACGAGTTTGCTGAGGCTTGCTTGGATAACAAGCCTCTCCCTCTGAAACTTACAAATGCTGTGAGAGCTGTTGAGATTGGAGCTGCCCTGCAGGAGGCTCTTGTGAGTGGAAAGCAAATCAGGTTCGATGAGATAGGACGCCGAATCGAGGAGCCCAAGCTGTGATACATTATAGGTTGCGAGAAAATATACAGATAGGTGTTAGGTATTGTTAACCATCAGTCCTCATTCGAGTCTTGCGTCCATTGCTGCTGCAATGACATACTTAGTGAATCTGTTTGCCAGCCAGTCTTTTGCTGAATGTGTCGTAAAAAGTCAAGAACCATATTCTGATCCAACTTTTCGGTAAAAACACTGCCCCCTGCAAAGTGTTAGAAGAGAGAACTGTCATTTGGCTCCAGGTGCGACAGACAAACTGATAATGAATGTCGAGCTGTGAATAGCGCATTTTCGGCTTTTGAGTGAGAGCTTGCTAATGCTATTATCTGAAGTAAATGGTTTCGAATCGTTCGCTGTATTGTATTCGTCAGTTCGATCCCATCGAAAGATTTAGGAGGATTGAATTCTGACCTCAACCTTCTTGCTCTCTCGGATCTGCTCAAATACTGAGTCTGTAGCAATTGGCAGAGACATGACCAACACAATCTTCGCAATATGGTAGTATTGCAAACCCACCGCTATTAACGCTGATCAGCATAAACCAGATCGTCTATGATGTGACCTACAATGAAAAGGCGAAAGAACCCAAATAGTAGGTAGCAATTTCCCTTCATCCTTATTTCTGGTGGTTTCTAGAATTGGATTGAAAGCAGCCGGTTTGGAGTCAAACCAATCGTCAACTTGCAGTCGAATGCTCTCCAGGCTTTCGTTCGAGATGGATGAATCGGATGGGTAGATGGAGCTCAGAGATCGAGCAAGAAGGAAGACCATTTTGTTTGCGTAGGCTGCATCATCAGTGCGTCGAAAGATATCGGACTGGAGGTAATTCTCTAGGTTTGATCTCAAAGGCCGCAGTCTTGTCAGTGAGACATAAATGTCTTGTCGGAGACAGAGCCACGCTGCGGCCTCACCAAGACCGCCGTTGAAGTCAAACTCTGACATCGAGTTGACGATCCTGGATGTTCCTGTCAGGTGCATTTCCATATCCTCCGCTACGAGAGTCAGCATCAGTGTCGATGCGAAAGTATGAAAAAGTCCTCAGACTCACCGTCCATCTCTTCGTACTGCCGCAGTATGGCAATGGCGGCAAGGGTCTCCTCATCGATATGTCCACTCGCTTTATCAACAGCTTCTATCAAGACACTCAGGCAGGAATTGTAGTACTCCAGAGCCTCGGTCGAAGTGTCTGCCTTATCTCGATTGATATGACGCGAGGAGAAGGCGAAAACTGCGTATCGAAGCACAGGGAAGTACAACGACCGGCGGGGAACCTCCAACTCAAAGTGACGATGCACATCAGTCGCGTCAGCCCATAAAGCCATGTTTTCCGTAAAGTTCTTAACAAGCTCCGCCTCGCGTCTTGTGAATTGCATTGGCGGACGAGAGTACGGTGAGTCGGGGGAACGAACAAGCTCGGAGCTGTAGCGGAGATGTCGAGTCATTTGCGTACTTGCTGGAGAGTTTCCCGGTAACGACGCCATGCTCTGGGACACATGTGACGCCGGTGATATATGCGCCAGTGCAGACGCATGTTGATCCGTTTCTGTGGTATCAGGAGCGGCTGTCAAATCTTCAGCCAGAGATATACTAAAACTGTTAGCATGCTCCAATTTGAAACCCGTACAGCTCACTCTTCTTGTGCTAGCTCTTCATAATCCCGTGATACTCGACCGGTCTCGTCAACGTATTCCACTTGGGGCGTCAGCTTTATTGCAAGATAGGTCCTTCACACCCTACATGATTTTCTCGGTCGCACCCATGTTTGATCAGTGGAGAAGGTATATTCAGTTGATAGACCTAGGCCCGGTCGGAAACGGATCTGTAGAGCGCGCTCACAGTCTATGCCCGCCTTGACGCATGCCGAACATGATGGGACTTCCTTGTCACCTTTGATCAATTAGCGGGATGTAGTTCGTTGTAACGGAGACCTACATCGTATATGGCGCACTGCTCCCCTCAGCAACTCATCTCAACAAAGCCTCAATCTAGCATCTCACCTACCTCTGCATGCAGTACTATCCCAATCAGCCGCTGGTCCGGGTTCGCGGAATTGAACTTACCATCCAACGGCGACGCGACTATATTTCTTGGGCAAGGGATCTTCTACTTCCATTACAGTACTGATGCTGGGAGTAAAAGATAGGTAGTGAAGCAAGAGGATGGAACTTTGGCCGAAATGAAATAGTGTCAAACCATGTCACGTGACATTTTACAAGAATTTAGTTATACCTACTTAATTATTTAAGGACTAACTTTAATTAATATATTAATAAGAATTATAAAAAAGAAAGATATATAATTATTATTTTTATTTATTATCTTTTTAAATTTATAAATTTTTCTTAAAAAGAGTTTAACTTATATAATTATAAATTAAAATTAAAATATATTAGAAAAAAAACTAAATAAAAGGAAACTCTTTAAATTAATCCTAATTAATTATATACTCTTAAATACTATATAGTACTAGTTTCTAGAACCTAAATAATATTACAAGCTTAAAGGAACAAAAGGAACACGTCGATTAGGCCGCTCTAGAAAAATGGCAATTCGTCCTGATGGATGAGGGTTGGAGCGTGGACACTGTTACCAGCCTTGTCCATAACACCAAGCTCCAGAGAATCGGCGTTACCATCTGTCCCCCTTCGAACCAGTGGAACTCGACTGCTGATGTCGCCACTCACATTGTAGACATGAAGAGCTGGGGCGTGAAGGGCGCCAAGATTGACCTGTTCTCGTCAGATGTACAAGCGATCCATGTCCAGGAAACGACCGACTAAAGGGTCATGCTATCTCCCGCCGGGGTCCAATAGTCTCATCATACTGTCTTATGTACTACTCTCGTATATACTGGAGTTTGCCTCCTGATTATTTTTGCCATCAGATTCAAGTATCCCGAAATCCCCATGGATATATTTACGCCACTTTATCAATTACAATGCGTGCGGGGTAGCAGAAATATGTCTCAGCGAGTGAGCAAGTTATTGAAATGGTTGCAATCCAAGAAGTAAAGAGCCATTGACAATAAATCCCATACCACCTACTCAGCTGCTGCTGGATGAATGGGATTCCAGCGGCATATGCAGGCGGGCCACGGCTAAGCCGTGGCTAGCTGAAAAGCTTAAACAAGCTTAGTTTATGTAAATCAGATGCACTGGACAATTCAGATCATACGAGTTCTGCCCCCTGTCTCAGTTCTCTATTGTATTTTCGACATTGCATAAAATAATAGAAATATCATTATGTCATTTGTGTTCAGTATTGAGGCCGTCCACGTCATATTGAGGCCTACCTTGTTGGTAAGAGTAGTCTTATTTGATAGGACAGGGGCGATGTTAATGATGTAGCCTCCGATGTAAGGTGTATTTATATGGGAGGGAGAACGACAGTCAAACTGAGAAACCCAATTCAAACAACTCCCAACCGTGTTCACTTCCCCAAGTTCCTTTCTAGCCATGCCTTCTCAAAACAGGACCCTGAAACTGAACAGTAAACTCTCATTTGGCAAAATCTTCGAAGCAGGCAGCTTCATTGTCTTTTACTCGTCATCATACGATCCAGTACCAGACACTACTGCGTCTATCGACAACACCAGTGTCAATATCACCAGTGCTGACGATGAGGACCTTCTGCACATCTCTTTCCGCCGTGTTGAAAATCAGATAGTGTTCAACAGCCGCCTCAAGGACACGCAAGGCAATTTAGTATGGGGCTCAGAAGAACGAGTTCCCCTCCAGGGCGTGTTTAGTAAGACTGATGTTACGATTCTTGTTCGTCTTGAGGACGATGTCTACCAGGTCTATGTGGACGATTCGATCATTCATAGCTATAAAAAGCGGATTCGAAAAGATGCCAGAGGAGTCTCTTATAGAGCCAACACCAAGTCTCTCTTCACTGATCCCATCCAAGTCCAGCTCGTGACACCCGACGCGGTCTCAGATATCAAGCTCAAGCCGGCAACTAGCTACGAAGCTGCATACTTTACTCTGAAGCCCGAGGACATAGCGGCAGAGTCCGAGAAAGACCCGTTTGACTACGTCATCATTGGATCTGGAATCGGCGGTGGCATGCTTGCCACAGACCTTCTTGATAAGAATAAGCGTATGTCGAGCAGCTTCAGTTCACAGTCGAACAACTCAGTTACTCGCTCCTCCGGAACTTGCGATGAGGCACATCCCATTGCGGAAGACACAAAGGAGAGGACTAAACGGATTCTCGTTATCGAGCGCGGGAACCTCCTTTTCCCGACACACTCGCTCAACATGCCTCGCCCGACGAGCCGCGGAACCTACGGCCAGATGAACGATCTATTCTATAACCATTTCAAGAGCAACTGGGAGATGGACGACGAGACGCGCAAGATTTGGAAGGGCGGTCCAGTGTACTGCCTTGGTGGCCGTAGTACGGTCTGGGGTCTCTTTTGTCCCAGGTCAGCCCTGTCTTCCCAAGTTATCTATATCGACATCTAACACAAAGCGCAGAATCGACGATGATACCTTCAGCACATATTTTCCAAATGGAGTATACAGCGAAACTTGCGAAAAGCTGAAGAATGGATGAATATCTCGTACCCACAAACTCTTCCCCTACACCGTGCGCTCAAGGACAGTCTGAACCTCCACGATGAGGAGTCTCGGCTTCCGACTACCCAGTGGGAATGGGGACGTGTGGCTTCTGAGTTCCGGAACCCAGCTAACTTTGACTTTGCTGAGGGCGCATTCAGCACAGTGGACCGCCTTCTCGAGGCTGCAATGGACAATCACAATGGTCAGGGAAAGTTCAAGATTCTTATCAACTCACTCGGTTCCCATCTGGAACCCCAGCCACAGCCTGGAAAGAAGCAGTCGGCCACGCATGTGGTTGTGTCAGCTAAAGATACCTTCGGCAGCGAGTTTGCTCGCAACTTTGGGCATCTTACCGACCACTATATCTTTTATGTCACGATGCCGTTCTACTACAAAGACATGAAACTGAGGAATACTCTTGGCGGCGTTAAGCTCCAGACCGACATCAAATTCAATTACATCGACCAAAGCACTGCGCTGGCCAATATCTCACTTGACGCCTCCTCTTTCCTGCCTCGCCGGAACATTCCAGACTCTGAACTTCCGCAATTCATCATCGCCTACATCTTGCCCTCTCAGCTCTCCCGCGATAATGAGGTTGATCTTGACGACGAAGGCCGGACACGAATCAAAGTTGGATATGCCGACGATGGTAAGCTGGACAAGAAAAAGATTGTCTTGAAAGATTTCGCTGTCGACGTTATGAACAAGATTGCTGTCACTCTTGACATCCAATTCGTCCAACACAAGTTCGACATGGACGACTATGTCATACTCCCCAAGATTACTAAAGATAACATCCAACTGGGCGAGCTAGGTCCTGGTGGCGTAGCGCACGAGCTCGGCTCGATCCCGATGCCCAACGCGTCCAAGAAAGGGGGCATCCTTGACGAGAACCTCAAGATGCAGTACGGCTGGGACAATGTCTACGTCTGCGACTTGTCCGTCTTCCCCTACTCACCCGCTGCCAATCCAACTCTTTCCCTAGCTGCACTCTCACTCCGCCTGTCTGACCACTTGGTGCCTCCCAAGGACACTGACTACCAGCCGATCGTGGTTCGCAATCTGTGCCCGAGCACTGTTTATGTGACCATGACTCTATCTCATGAGCGAAGCTTGTCGTGGGATCCGTCGCCGGGCAAGGATAAGCGGGTGAAGCTTGAGTCAGGTCAGAGCATGACGTGGAAGCGAGAGCAAAAGGAGACCATCTTCATCTACTCATCGGAGACCGGGAAAGATTTCAATGTACAGATTGTTGAGCCTGGAGTTACAGCTCTTATTACAGAGTCGCCCTAACGGGACCACTTGGGTATATGCAAGTCCATAGTAAAATTCAGCCTCGAAAGTCTATGGTCGGATAGGCACGATATATCGATGGTGAGGTGTCATCCAGTATAATTCAACTATTGAAGAATGTTACAAGCACTTTTTAAAATGAAAAACTTATTATTCAAGCTTTCCCTTTATTATATTCCAAAGGGTGTAGTCAAGTCATGTTTATCCCTCTACCTAATGCTTTGCTAGGCAAAATACTTCCTGACTCTTGAGAAATCTGTCGAAATTGCCTGAAACCCTCCCAATTCTTATCCATAGGACCAGGCATAAATACAGTGCTATCCGAGTCTATTTCCCAAGGAGTTTGTGTACTCTCAAGGACCCGATTAGTTATTGACTGCCATGCCTCTGAAGATTATCTATTGTTTAGTTAAAGTCTTTTTATCCCATGTGTTCCTGTAGACCGCCGCTTGCCGAATATGCCTTTTCAGATTATCCTTTCTAAGAAATGATTGTCTACAAATACTTGAAAAGATGGAGAGCCTGAGTTCATGACCATGTTGAGACCCAACTTAGAGCTATACAGCCGTGGTTAGTCTCTGCGTAACTTTATGCAAGATTGTCTACCTTGAATCCTCCAGACCGTACAGTTGAGCATACTGTGGTTTAGCTGCAGATATAATAAGACTATTGATATGTTCCCCACTGATTTGAGCAAATAAAAACGACACTGGGACGTGATGTGAGACACAGCTGAAAGACAGGAATTTGCGCTAGACTAGATACATGCACAGTGCGTGCCACTCCTAAGGGCTGGTGGCTTGGACAGCATTTACGGACTAGTCTCGACCCTTGGCCCAGCATGCGGTCAACGTTGACTTTATGGTCAGCCAGCATAGGCACCATTTACTCATTCTGCACAAGTTCTAACATCCTGAATACTGTATCTCATATTGAATCATCAATCAGAAAAGGCCATCAAGCTCTCGCCATGGAACCCGAATCACTTCAGCCCAACCAGGTCCAGCTCTGGTCCTCACACCGCCCTAACTTAGAAGTTGGTGACTACACATTCACTGCAACAGAAACCATCCAGCCTACTTCGAATTTGAACGACTTGAGACAACTCTCTAAACTCACGCAAAGTCTTTCTGTGCCGGGACCAAAGTTCAAACTTCTGCATTCATCAGACATCCACAGCGTATATCCAGTTGCTGGGAGTATTGAAACAGGCGCCATATTACCGCATGTGACCCTTAAACACTCTACACTGGCGTGGGAGCGACAGGTAGTGTTTCCTGGCGACTATGCGCCAGACAGCAGCAGCAAAGTCCCGTGGCTTGCCGTCCTGTCTTTCACTGAAGACGAGCTCATTTTAAGTGAAAGTGCTGCTACTACCCTCGGCTTCCCTTCAGGTACAGTACCATCGAGATATGGAGCTGTTGCTACCACGGCAAGCCAACTCAAACTCCTCAATAACAGCATCGCATCGCCTCTTTGGTCGTCTAACTTTGGTGATGATTACGCGGACACCGATCCAGTGGATGCCCTATGCATACGGCCTACCTTGTTCAAAGAGCTTTTCCAACCAGTCGCTGGTGGAAAGGCATGTAACGATATCGTACCGTATCAGTTCATGGCACATGTGCGCCATTCTCATAGCAGTAGTGATATAATCAGTATCGTCATTAGCCCTCGCAGTGGACCAACTGAACTCATCAAACCTGCTCGGATGGTCTCGCATCTCATCTCATTGGAGGGAATACCTCGGCTTGACGTCTCTAGCAGTGCTTCTTCTGTGGCCCTGGTGTCCCTGTATAGCTGGGACTGGATGTGCACGCCCCCAGCGGGTCCTACTACTCCGAAGGATATTCTCAACGCCCTTGGTAAGACTGTTCAGCCCCTCTGCGTCCCAAAAACAATTTTATCTTCTATTGTTACCTCAACTATCTCTTCTTCCTGGCTACACGACCGACTTGAAGCCGGGTACACTATAAAACCTTATCAAGATGCTAGTGGTCAGAAGGCGACTTGCATTCTTCGTGGGCCATTAATACCTGCGCCTGAAAAGCCTGATCCATCCTTTGGGAGTTGCTGTTCGGACAACGGCAAGGACCTTTTGAGATTTGATTCTGCGACTGGATTGCCTGATATCACCATGCAGTCCGCTTGGACACTAGGTCGAGCAATGGCTCTTGGCGACAAGTCATTCTTGACCAGCTTGATGCGACTTCGAGGCAAGATCCGGGCTGAAGCAGTCCGCGCAGCAAAGGCAGCTTCGCGGGATGCAAGTGGTACCGGTAGCTGGACAAGCAAAGACGTATTGGCGAACCTAGCTACTACCCTGGCCAGTATCGCCAAAGCGCACTCTGACAGCGCTCACAGTGCCGTCACTGGTCCAGTGCGCTGGACCAATCAGCAGGCGAGTTCGCAGCCACAACAGCGGCAACAAATTGTCAGTTTTGCTCATTTCGATCAAGCTACGTATCTCAAGCAGCTCGGGCTCTGGAACGTTGTGGAAGATTTGTTTGCAGCTACTACCCTTAACGCAGACGCCTCAGTCGTTCAGTCATGGATACTGGAGAAACTCCTCCTTGGAGGCATTCCTCCGTCGTATCTGGTCATGACGCCGGATCAGTTTCCCCAAGAGAGTATTCGTACTTTCAGTATTGACTCAACTTGGGTCGCTCTTATGATCGACGGAGCACTTAGTCTAGCAAACCATCATTCTCGTGATGGCGATGACGATGTGATACGGAAATACATCAAACATGCAATCAACAAGTGGCTTACACAACCACTTCCCGATGAACATGTCATTCAACAGCCACCACGATGGGGAGTACTCCTTCGAAGTAGTCTGGTGTCTTCTTTTCCAGATTTGAAGGTCGTAGGGTCCAGCACGGCATACTACGACCCAAGTACGAGCAAGCCCTTTTTACTAAGGAGGGTAGCCCCGGATATCATGCTATGCCTCTCCGACTTTCGACCGGGCGACTCCGATTTTACGTATCTATGTATATCCCTCCCGATTCACCGACAGACGTATCAGCTAGGCGAAACATTTACAGCGTAGAAATTGCGTGGCGACTTTAAGCTTCCGCCCACGTCATCAGCTCCATCTACTTATGGAAAGGATGGGACATGCCAATGGACAAACACGGACCATAACCTTCCCTACAATTGGACGACAAGGATGCTAGATCCTTTGAGCTACGCGCAGCAGATCTATTCCAAGTTAAACGGATCATCTAGCAGTATTGACTCAACAACCTTAGCTCTCTTTTTGGGGCGACCGACTCCCAGTTTGATGCTAGAGGTGGGCAGATTGACCAGATCACCTCCCGCGACGCCTCCGCCATATCTGCCAGTGACATTACCAAGTCTCACTGCCGCATCTTCACCCTCCAAGTCTAAAGGATCAGTAAACTCAAAAAAGTCTTTTTCAAAGGCAAAAGCTTCATCAACCCTGAAACTGTCTCCAGTGACATCTTCGATACAAACCATTTCTGCAATCGCCAATATCACTCTAGTCCTCCTCGATAGCAGTCAAGCATACCATTACGGTTGCCCTAGAGTCACCAACATCAGCGACATTTTCACACCCCGGGACCGAAAACGGCTTTCGACTCTCAATAAGACTGGGTCGCAGGGTTCTGCAAGGAATGATATCGTATTTACCCTATACGACGACTTCCGTCGCAATGGATAAGATCCTAACATGAATGAAGGGGTTGAATATATCAGAGTCGTCATTCCCGTAACTGGAACCTGGCTAGAGTCCAACGAGACGATCACACTTCCAGCAGTTGATGAGGCTGACGGTTCCAAGACTGATGTTAGCGTCGATGCTTCGCACCCCACGTTACTATTTATCCCTGGATCCTTGACATCGCCAGTTCTACCAGCCGTGCGTTCGCTTGACCAATCCCAACAATGGACTTTTCGTCGATATCTTGCACTCTCACGCATGTACACCGCACCGGAGCCAGCAGATGGCAGTCAAGTCTCAGTATCCTCAGATGATCCAGTGGTGTCCGTTCTTGTAGTCGAAGGTAAACCAAGATTTGACTTGACTGGAGGTTCAGAGGATGCAAGCTTTGTCCTTGAGGGCGCACTTCTTTTGCCAACAAAGTCAAGTAATCCCTATGTGTTGGCTGGCGTTGGAGTAAATATCATCTTCAAAGCCAAGGACTCTGCTGTTCAAGAGTTGTTAGTTAATGTTCAGCATGTCGAAAGCCATGATACTTCGTAGTAGTAACTTCGCCACGGCTAGGAAGCTCATGGGGTCATGGCGAGAGCGGGATACGCTCAGAGCCCGATTAGGGTAGACATTGATTTAAATAGTTTATTCAGAGGGTTCAGTGAGGAGAGAGCTAAACCAGGATTAAATAATCGGTCAGTAGATGACGGCTACTTAGAAGAGAACTTGGTCTTCTCTAAAGCTCCGGAATTGGTAGATAAATAGAAAGACCCCTTGTCCTTAGTTCTAATAGTAAGTCATTTACATCTACTTAACAACAAGTAGCCAACCTACATGGCGTAAATAGTCCTATAGATATTTAAAGTCAAAGCTAATGGATTGTCCTGTCGCGAAACGACATAGAACATCAACATTCAGAAATATCGGTAGTCTCTAAAGTTGTTCTGTTAATCATTCTATCTACCGAAAAACCAACCCTGGTGTTGGCATCATTCCGCTTTATTTTTAACAGATAACTACTAATCTATAGAAACTGTACTACGTATGATATGTGGAACAAACGGAGAGTTCTAGTTAGACCTAGGATTTATAAATCTTATTTAGACTCTCTTAACATGCTTAGCTCTGCGTTCTGAGTATTAATAGAAGACCTATGTAGGACGGCAGGAGGGTAAAGAAACAGAGAAACCTACAGTTACTATTACACTTAAGTCAAGAAGTGTATACTTGTCTTTGCCTTGGATTACCTGTTTATTCCCCTCTTACTCTCTCCAGGGAGGGCCTTGTTGCTCTCGTTTAGCTACTTCTTATGCTTTTGAAGTTGGAGATCATACTTCAAGAGACAGTATATACTAAATCGATCAATTTATCCCATGTAAATTCTGTCTTAAATAAGGCTAATCCACTCGAACTGTGGACTTTTATCCATAATCTCACCATCCATAATCCCATGCACATAGGCTTGTCCAATATACTGATAAGCAACACCACCTTCTTCACTCCGGATCTGTCGTAGTATAAAAGGCATTTTGCCTCCATTCAAGACAGAGATGAAGTCCCCTACTTTAATGTCAAGATTGCTAATTCCAATCATACCAGTCTCTGAAATAAACCCCTTCTTGTTGAAAGCTTTGAGGCTGACGCCACTGGGGATTTGCTCGAATTCGTTGAGGACCATTGCTTCCGCATTAGCTCTTTTTCCAAGTCGTTCGTAAAGGCCCTTTCCATGGCTCGTATCGCACATTAATGTACGCCATGACGCTTCCTGGTATGTTCCCCCTTGAGGGTACTCGTCGCCTGACAGGGCCTGCCACCTATGGACCATTTTCTTCATGCTGTCAACACTATCCATAACATCTCCCAGTTCTATGATCGGTTCCAAAATCAAGCCTCGTAGGTCCAAGACCCTATGCGAATACGATATCCTGGTTTGCGTTTTTTCATCTCCACAGGCAGCGTAAAGCCTGTACAGATAATACCAGGCTAGCTCAAGGCTATGACTTTGGCTGTCAATGTCGGCAGACCAGTCAGGAACCCAAGTCGGTAGACTTAGAGAACGGTTAACCTCGGGGGCTCTTAGTATAATCTCAAGTGTACCGAACTCTTCGATGAGGGATCTCACCCCAAGGGTGAAAGCCTCTTCATGTGGTAGGGTATAATCTGCCGAGATGTTACTTCCAAGTCCAAAATAGGCATACATCTTATCCCTCGGGTCAGATGCCTTTCGGTCCCTGAAATCATTCAACACATTGCCCATGAATAGTATCTTTTCTCGGAGACATTCCTTAGCATAGACGAGTTTCTGCAGATGGCCCCAGAACGAGCCGGGGACAACAACCCGCTTGCAGCAATTGAGGAAGTAGTGATCAAGGGAGTTGTTATGCGCCGCTACAAACAAAGAAAATGACAATTGTTCTGTACCGCATACCACGGTGGCATCTGCAGGAAGAACTGTTTCCTGCACGGTCCAGGCGCGATGCCACCAAGGTAATTGGACCAAACAAGACAAAGCAGTATAGCCGCCACTGAATAATTCCGTTTTTGGGTCACTGTCCGCCGCGGCACAGCCATAAGAGTCTCTGGCCATAAATTTGAGTAAATCGAAAGCCTTCATGACTTTCTCACGAGGGATACAGTTAGGTGTCGCATTAATCCCGTCAGAGAAGTCGCCTAACCAGAGTATTGCTTCCGTCGTGCGCGTGTAGATTTTGCTCATTAGCTTGACTTGATGGGACTTCTCGACATCATTATCTTGATTAATGCATAGCGCGTCCACCCAGAGACGTCGCTCGCTTTTTGGGTATCTCAATCGCCGAAGAGCGTTGAACAGGTTGACTGTGACATTTCTTTGTCTACCATCAACCTCAATAGAACGGCAGTCGAGAGGATCTCCCCATACGTATGACAGCGCTTGGTATCTAGGGCCTGCATCGAGAAATTCAGTGCTTAAGACACAGCGCAAAGGGTCGTTGTACGTTGCTGGGAGGAGATGTAAGATTCTAATTTGGTGGCTCTGCAAATCGATCGCTGGATATTCTGGCATATGCTGTGCATTGTCTGGAACCAGGTGCCGTTGCGTTGCGTTGGAGGCGGCTGGCGCATCGCCTCGATCTTCGGTTTTCTGGTCATGAGATCGCGTTTGAGGCATTAGAGATATAGAGGAAGCAGTTTTTCAGGGCGCCTGTTTCAACTGTGCGTGATATTGGAGAAGCAATGAAACCTGGACAATATTTTATCGGGAACTCGCTAGTCTCGTGTGGCTGTGCTTGCTCAGCCTTGGAATCTACCTTGTGAGGCTGTGACGACGCAAAATTACAATTATATCCCAATCGATTGATTGAAAGCCTCATTACAATATCGCTTGTTGTGTTGTTGTTTAGTCTAACTCTTTCGTTTTCGGCTCCTGGCAGTGTGTAAAAAGACGATTTTACTGTAATGGAACTATACTTAGTAAACCTTATATTACTTGCTTGAATTAGTTTTATTCTAGAGATTTAATACATTAAATATAGGAATAATACAAAAGGAGGCAGGTATTGGTCTAAAAAGTAAAAAGATAGAAGGAGCTTGAAAATAGTATTCGATAGATTAGGAGCTCTGGCTATATTTACATTTACAGAAGATAGATTTCATTAATATTTTATCGACTTCTCATCCCTCTTACATAAGAATATGTACAGTATCTTCTATCGCAAACACCATAGCGCATGGCTCCAGCGCTGGGGATACATCTGCCTTTTAGTCATGATATGTCCGGAAATGTCTCAGTATACTTATATACTAGTCGTCCGGAGGTTCGGGGCCGGTGTACCTGCTCGTGTTACCACATTGAGCTTGAAAACGGAAGCAGATCCTTTCCAAAATCCGCCAATGACGGAAAAGCCTCTGCTGGTTCCGTGTCTGAATATGGAAAGTTGAGGCGTGATTTATGGATATTCTGGCTGACCCCGCACCCCAATCGCAGCATTATTAAGTTTCATATGATGTGAACTGGAGTCCAGGACTGATTCTCCAAACAGAGAGCTCCGTGTACGTATAGGTTGAGAATATCAATTTCACATACCTGCAAAGCACCACTCAAGACCAAATTCGTACCATAAAGCCGATGATCATATAGTTCTATGGGGGTAACTTCCGCGTATAAGGTTAAGCTTTTTTTGCCAAAGGTCGTAGTAAACTCCGCATCTGGCATCTTGGCGAAAAGAGACACGGAAGCTAATGATCCGAACGACCAGGTAAGGTATGTCGATTCCACGAGATGTGTACTTTTCTTTAAATACGCCACCGCCGTCGTCAATAATTTCTATGTGACAACCTTTCCAATCAAGCGCTGTCTCCTGTTACAATGAAGTTAACAGCCTACATCAGCCTCTGGCTGCTAACTCTTCTTCACTCAACTCTCGCTGCAGATGTTGTCCCCAGGTCTACCTTTACTGAGGTAACCAACTACGGCGATAACCCCACAGGTACTCGAATGTGGCTGTATGTTCCGAAGACGCTGGCTTCGAGTCCTGGCATAGTCGTCGGTATCCATTGGTGTACCGGTAGCGCTCAAGCATACTACCAGGGTACACAATGGGCACGCTACGCCGAGACATATGGCTTTATTGTTATCTACCCTCAGACGCCATATACCCAGGATAATTGCTGGGATGTAGCATCAAAGATGACGTTGACTCACGATGGCGGCGGTGCTAGTACCTCGATCGCCAATATGGTCAGGTATATCACCAAGGAATACAATACCGATAAGAGTAAAACCTTTGTTACAGGTACTTCCTCAGGAGCTATGATGACTGTATGTGCCAGTGAGGTCTCTTGACACGAGCAAGCTAATATAGAAACAGAATGTTATGGCCGCAACCTACCCTGATATCTTTGCAGCAGGAATTGCATATGCAGGTGAGTTGACACGCCTCACATCCAATACTTACATCACACGTCTTACACACGTGCACAGGTGTCCCAGCCGGTTGCTTCAAGAGCGCAGATAATATTCCCGATTTCTGGAACTCAACATGTGCCACCGGCCAGTCAATCTACACCCAGACTCAGTGGGCCAATGTTGTGAAGGATATGTATCCTGGATATACTGGATCACGACCCAAAATGCAGATCTATCACGGGTCGGTAGATCAGGTATTGAATGTACAGAACTACTACGAAACCATTAAACAATGGACTGGCGTGTTTGGTTATTCAACTGACCCGCAATCCACGACGCCTAACTTCCCACGGAGCCCGTATACCAGATACACGTTTGGCGATAAGCTGCAGGTAAGATAAGCAAGCATCCCAGTTTCAAGAAATATGACTGAAAACACGTTTAGACGTTCTTGGGTCAGGGTATTAATCATTCGATTGATGTGTTCCCAGAGGAAGACTTAAAGTGGTTTGGTTTCGCTGTAAGTCACATCACTGTCAATAACATCCTCAATGTGCATTACCTAACGAAGTTCCAGGATCCAGTAAAGCCTTCATCCACTACTACCGCCACAACACCGACAGATACTGGTAGCTTGGAGGTTTCTCCTCAGTGGGGTCAATGTGGTGGCATAGGTTGGACAGGTCCCAAACAAGTAAGTAGTCAATTTATCAAGGCTTCCGTGGGATTTTATTAATGGGAACAGTGTGCAAGTTCATTCAAATGTGTCAAGATTAACGATTGTGAGTACTCTATCAAATGTTGATTTGATCTACTTGCTGATATCTACACAAGGGTATTCCCAGTGTCAGTAGTTGTTCTTAGCTCGGCGATGATTGCTTGAGATTTTCAGGGTAGATATATGGCCTGTATCACCCGTTTGAGCCAATATGTGGCGGTAAAAACATACCGGAGGCTCCATGGCCACGTCCGAGTGCGCAAGGGTAGAACTGGCCTCAACATAACACAGCCAGCCAGCATTTGATGATACAACCTGTCGCCGCGATAGAGCTGATTACCTTTTCTAATGTGACGCTGTCAAATTTTTGCATGCTGGCCTGTTGCTAACGCGCGTCCACCATGCGCTCAATGCCGGTCTTTTCGTAATCTCATCTTGCAACCCCAGACGCGGCAGAAACTGAAACCAAGGGATGTGATATATATCAACCAATGAGAATTGCTAAGAACAGTCAACAAGAATTCCGCTCGAAATGTAGATATAACTCACATTTCCGGCAAGGTACTCGCTATGAGAAAGTACTTTTTCGTAGTGTTCCAAGACCTTGACCAAGTCGCTTTCCAGTCTCTCGACTGTGGCCCTGTCAGGATCGCCTCGCCCCATAAACCTGTCCCGTGTGAGTGCAACGCGTTAGATGAAAGATATTGAAAGAACCAAGTACCCTTTGAAGATTTTCTCGTATGCCAAAGCTTTCACTGTCGGGTCAAAGTAAGAGTACTCAACGCTAGCCGCTTGCTCGTAAGTTGCCAGGTCCGCAATGTTTTGGTCCGTTCGCCTATTTAAAGCGCTATGTGGCCCGTACTTTGCAACCAAGTACTCGCAAATCGCCCTAGACTCGAACAATCGAGTGCCGTTATCGTCAAGAACTGGGATTCGTCCGAATGGATGGAATTCTTGCACATAATTGGGTTCCTAACGAGATAAGTAACGGCACAATCATGGATATATGGCTTCCTACAAGATGCTCCCCCTTCTGCATGTCGATGTTAGATAGTTCGTAATCCGTTATATTTAGTTCTGAAAAAACTAACAACACTCTTTGAGTGCAGGTTGATTGACGCGATCCATATAAAGTGAGAGTCATCGTTGTAGTAGTTGGTCACTGTACTACGAATCGGTGCCATAAGAGTGTCTAGTAAGACTTGACTTAAGAAACAAAAGAACTGGTCTTGATTCTTGGATGATACCTGGGATTATATTTTAGTGATCAAGGTTCTAGGCTATATAGAGAAACCTTGACCCAGATTGTGGAGTAGTGGAGGAGCATTCGGGATGTGGAGTCGGCGAAAGTGGAGAATCTAACTACCGACAACGGCACGGCACGGCATATTGTGATTGCCGCTACTCCTAGCCTGTAGAATCTCGCAATCGCCGCTACGTAGGGCAAGCATTGATAGAGGATTAAAGAGGCCTTCTGACTTTTATTTCCTTCAGACTCACGTAGTAGCAGTTTCAGTGTGTCATTCAACCTTAAGAAACAGCCCAAAATGCCCTCCCATAATGTTTATCCCAGCCCTGACGGACCCAGCCAAGTCGATGATACAATTCCGATCGCCCAGAGTCAGAGGACTTTGTTCGAATTTGGGATATTTGATCATTCAAAGATTCCAATGGAGCCAGAAGAATGGCCCGTTATCATCATCGGGTCAAGTATGGTAGGAATGACTTTGGGCGTTCTGCTAGGATATCATGGGTAAGACTCTATCACTCAACTCCTATGCGCCACCTTCTTGACATTTTCCAGTATCAAGTCAGTATCCTTCGACCGCCATCCTTCCACTGCTATACACCCCCGCGCAGCCTTATTTCTCCTGCGCTCCGTCGAGATTTTCCGCCAGTTAGGTTTGGAGGATGAACTCCGTTCAGAAAGCGCTTCAAACTTTGATCTTGACGCTGGAATGATCATTGTCGAGAAGCTAGTAGGCGGCAAGGTCCTGGCAAGTATGCAAGAAAGTGATCCAGCGGAAGTAGCCAAGGCCAGCCCGAGTCGCCGCTTATGGCTTACCCAAAACATGTTTGAGCCGCTCCTGCGCAAAAGGGCAAAGGAATTTGGTGCCGTTCAGGAGTTTAGCGAGACCGTCGTTCATTATGAGGAGCTGCCAGACGGTGTACTCGTCGTGGTGCAAAACGTTCAGTCTAAGAGTTACAGGAAATTTAAGACCAAGTATTTAGTTTCCTGTGATGGAAACAGGAGTGCAACAAGGAGAAAAGAAGGTATCGAATGGCAAGGTCCGGGACTGCTTGGTGAGAGTATTTCTATCAACTTCAAAGCCGATCTAACCCCATACCTCGGAACTCGGGCTAAGCATGGCGTCACCTATATTTCTAACCCTGCTATCGATGCTGGCTTTCGCTTGGAGAGCGGAGGCAAGGCTGGTTTTATGATCGTCACACGAGCAGGCGATAAAAAGTCCTTTTCTCCAGACTCAGTCTCTGAACGAGACGCGAAGCGATATTTCAAGGAAGCAAGCGGCATTGAGGACGACATCGATATTAAGGTCGACTCTATCTCATACTGGTCGGTAGCTGCCTTCAATGCCGAGCGCTTCATGAGCGCAACTGGCCGCGTGTTTATTGCAGGAGACGCAGCACATGTGATGCCCCCAACTGGCGGAATGGGCGGTAACACCGGTATACAGGTAAGTTAATTTCCAGCTTATCAGAAAGTATTCAATAATGCTGACTTACTTAGGATGTCCACAACCTGGCATGGAAGCTTGCGTATGTTCTAAGAGGGGAAGCCAGCGCTCCGCTTCTCCAAACCTATGATGCTGAGCGACGGCCAGTAGCTGGACTTCTTATGTGCCAAGCCTACTCAAGGCTTCAGAAACGAGTGTTTCGCACTGTCCCAGATGAGCCAGAACTTCCCGACATTGTATGCGAGATAGGTTATCGTTACCCTTCTGCTGCTGCTGCGCACATACAAAACCCCAACGGCGACCAGTACGAAGACCCGCATGCACCACTTGTATTGCCAGGAAGTCGACTCCCGCATGTGTTTCTTTCACGAGACGGTTCCCAGATATCTACCTTGGACTTGATTAAGACGAATTTCGTTCTTTTGACCACTGGTCAATCATCATCATGGATCGAAGCGGCCAAAAGTATGACACTTGAGATAGACTCTCACAGTATCAACAGGGACACTGGTACCGTCAGGGATTCTGAAGGCTCTTTCAGTCGTATTTGTAGGATCTCTGAAGGCGAGGCTATCCTGGTCCAGCCTGATGGATTTATTGCCTGGCGAGGCGAAAGGAGGAAGGATGGGCATAGAGATCAGTTACAGAAGGCATTGGAACTTGTTTTATACATAACCAAGAACTAATAATACTAAGTCCTGCAGGCTATGAGACCGCCTTAGGATTAGCAAGCTGATTAGCAGGTACATCTGTCATTAGAAAGGCTCATGATCCACGACATATATCCCAATCATTCATTTTGGCCCGCTGTGAAGTCTTTTGCAATGACATCAGCAGCGCACTAGCTTGGTGCGCCCGCAATTTTGCTAAACTTGTCTGCAAAGGAAGCTCCCTATATCCTCAGCTGTTATCATTTGTCCGTTGGGTACGATTTTGCTCTCCACAAGACTGTCTGACACCTAGCGGGAAGTACCAGACAGGTTATTACGCTGATAACGACGATTTAACGTTCCTACCAGTTTGGTAAGCGCCATCCCCGGTTCCCCACTCATATGCACAATCCGTATTACCTCTGTATCAACCTCGGAGGTACCATACATTACCAACACTCATTTCCAATGTGATATACAAGAACTATATCGTGAAACAAAAAAGAAGTTAAAGATTTCCTCCTTTTGAGATTCTTAGGTATTTAGCACCATGTGTCAAACGAAGACGTCTTAAGCGTTTATTATTCTAGGCAATATGATATGTTTCTGTAGCAGGTACCTATGCAACTACCTACGTATTTACTCAAGGTAGGGCATGCATTTGGATATAATGTGAATTATGAATTGCCCTTTTGCCACAACTGAAGATGGCGGGATCGCGACCAATCTGATAACTTGAAAACAGCCTCCATTTGGTTAGGCGTTCAAGGGGCAAGGTTGCTACATGTCATGGGGTTCACCTCCAGACTCGGAGTGAGCAAAGCTGAAAATGTGAGATAACAACACTAACACTATTAGGAAATCGCACAGGGAATTAATAATAGAATGCCCCGTGAGGCAGAATTGAGTAAGCCACCCAGCAGCCCGGTGCTCCACATTGAAAGAAATGCACACAAACTATTCGATAACAATTCGTATTACCCTGCAAGCCTCGTTGCATTTGTTAGACAAGATCAGTCCAGCCGCAAATGCCAAGAGTGAACGCCATCTGCTGTAGGCTTGTGTCTGGTAGGTATACTTCTAGGTAGAGCTCAGCTTTGTTTGATTACAGTGGGGGTTAATTAGATGCCAAATTGGAAGACTTCAATAATCCCTGGTAATGTGTTGTAGTGTCTCACTGTCGTTCTGTGACCAGCCTCCTCGCGCTACACAACGACGCCACAGCATTACCAGTCATCTTTCTTTTCTCAACAGCCTTTCAAGTGACATATAATTAATAGCTGTCAGCATGTTCTTTGATGGTTAACCCCACCTACATAGTATCTATATTGACATTCTGCCGTCACCCTCTAACGGGTTTCCTGATACATTCCGGTTTTACATATCCTAACCTGTTAAACACGCTTTTGAACAAAGCCAAACCGTTAAAAGACAAATCGGTATCCAAGGTAGCTTTAAGGCTTCAAAATGGTTGCTATCGCGAGCGGGCTGTGGTGGGACCACTCAAAAACAACAATCTTGGCCGCCACTCTGACCTTGCCTCTCAACTACAGCAACCTCCTCCTCTCAGGACTCACCATCCTCGTTACCATCGCCGGGTCAAGTTTCTGGAACATCGTTGCTTTCGCTCTTCATGACTGGAAGGCGAGGAGTGCGAACCCTAGTGCTCTTGACCTTCAGCATCAAGTCAGCCTACGGAACTCTGCAGGTGCTACTCAGACCCTATGGGAGGCCTTCAAGATCCATAAAGCTTGGTCAAAGAACCGGAAAAAGCCGATCATAAAGCAGACGTGTTCTGTGGTAGTTCCGGCTTTGATCGTCTCGGCAGGCTTCGCCGTCGCGGCGCTGTTCACCTCGAGAGTGGCCAACAAAGCTTACAGCAATGTCGTTGTACGAGTACAACCAAACAACTGTGGATTCTTATTCTTCAACATAACCAGTGAATATGATCTCCCCGCATTTAGCGCGATGGGGGCAAAAGGGCAAAACGACACCCGGCGGCTCGCAGCCATGTCGCCAACTTCTATGCAAACACTAGCAGCTCGACAGCTCCATCGATCTTTATCCGGCCAACTCTTCCATACGATATTAGCATTTTCGCACCTTACCCTTTCCCGGCTCGTGACCGCTGCATTCCAGGCCCTGATCGAGCGTTTAGCATCACGTCCGACTTTCTAAGCTCTCATGAGATGCTAGGAATAAATGCCAAGTTCGAAGATCGAGTATCTATACAGCTGAGCTTGACTTACTCTCCTGTACACACGGACGACCTTACCCAGGAAACTGGAAATGAGGACGGCGATTTTATGGAATTTTTCCTTGGGCCAATTTATGGCGCGACTAATTACACGTACAGATACAACAAAGCAATCGGAAACAAGACTGGAATTGGCTATTTAATTCAGTATGTTGCCCTGATTTTCCTTTTTTGCCTTTCAGACTATAAGTCAAGAGGAAATAGGCTGTCTTATGCTTGATATGTCTCGTGGAGGCTTCATAAGCTTTAGGCATCAATCAATAGGCCGTCTTGGTCTGACTTATGCTGATGAGTTAAGGGTCTTATCCCACGTTCAGCAGTAGCAGCTTGTCGAGTAATTCTTTGCTTTGGAAGCCAATCCCTGATTTCAGCCCCACTGATGCCGATGTCACTGTTCATTTCTTAAGCCAAAACAACATTGCGTATTTGGCTCCAGTTCATGATCAATGGTTCTCTGCTAATGGAACTCAAAACATAACCTCTCAGGTCTTACTATATTTGTCTCTGATCGCAACGTCGATACAATGGTTTGTGCCGATCGATATGTCTTGTGCAATCCTTCCATTGCGTCATGCACTTCTCCAGCCGGTATTCTCGGACTAGTGAACAGCTCGACGAGTACGACCCTGAACTACAGTACAACCCAGCTCTCTACAGCCGATCGAATTCTCTATTCCCTAGCACAGTCGAATACATATACAACTGTGGCAAACCTCGGTACAGCGGCGCTATGGGCCAACAACATGGTGACCGGACATGTCTCCTTCGGCCTACCGGAGGATCAGTGGAAGACTGAGGTGATTGGCTGGTTCCAGACCAACCTCGCCATGCTACAGGCACACGTGGTCGATTTTGCCTCCAACACAGCAGACTTAGGTCCCTTCGGATACGTTGAACCGCCCAGGAACAGTCATCTGCAGGATCAGTGCACCAAGCAGCTAGTACGGGCCGTTGGCGAGGTGCAAAATTTCAGTGTTTGTGGGATGCTTATCATCGTTTGCGTTAGCGCTGCCCTGATACTGCTAGATTGTTCGCTCGAGCGGATTGTTGATTTTGTAGACGATTTCTATGAGCGAGATTCAGTAGCTGGGAGGGCGAGGCAGGGAGACAACAAGCTACACCTTCTACGGATGGCATTGGGAGGAGACGACTGGACACTCGGGCGATGGGGTATCCCTGTGCGGGATAATGATGCAAAGTATAACAGACCTTGCGCTTCGAAGCGGCTTGTCTCCTATGGGGGTTCGAACACGGGACTCACGGGAGAAGATATAGGACTCATGCAAGTATGCAAGTGAAGGCCTCGTGAAGGGGCGAGGGGAAAACGAGGTCAGTAGCACCATCCCGGGGATTCCCTGGAAGGGTCGGGACGTCAAGATATGCTGTAACAGAAGACTGGGAGTCTGGGAGGTTCCGGGTTTATCAAGCCTCGTATCGTCTCCCACCTCACTGGTGATGCGGCTTGCAATTGCATTTTTCGCAACTGACAACAACCCGAGACATATTTATTGGCGGCAGTCAACCATACAACTGAGAAGGTCGGAATATTCTTAATATCATTGAGAAAAAACATATGAGAACCAATGTTCGTTGCTTTGCTGTCCGGTGAAGCTATTAACAATACGCAATTCGAGAGTTATAACCAGTGTTAGACCAGCTGGGCTACTGCTGGCAATACCGATCTTCGGGAGGCGTGATCTTTCGTAGCAGAGCTGAGATAATTAGTTATGAGTAGGATTGACTTGTGAGGCTGGAATATGTAGCACATCCCCCCGGTTCTTATCAGTCTAATAATACAACAACACACCTGGCGGGGTGGCTAGGTGGGTTGCTCCGTACAGAGCAAGGGTTGAAGTAGACTAGCCTAATAGGCACTCTGGCAGTCTAGGGTAGGCGCGAGCACTTGTAAAGAGGTTAAACCTAAGATACCTACCTTTCTTGATATAAAGGTACCTTCTGTTTTGGCATTAAACATTAACTTAACTTATCTAACATTATGCCGATTTATAGCTAAGCAGGCTTGATTGACATACTACTAAAAAGACCTTTACGAATAATTGTATCTTCTGACATTCATGGCTGGCGCCGGCTATAAGTCTTTTTAGTCTCCCTCGGGGATGATAAAATACAATCTATCTACACAACAATTAAGATCTTAAGCAATAACGAATGGTGCTCGAGGATATTCGATTTCATAAGAGGTCATTATAGGGATTTTTAATTCATTTTGAAGCCCTCAATTCAATTCTTGGTACACATCCGTCGCGACTCGGCAATGTCGGCTGTGGACGGCTGGGTGTGGACTAGCGCCTGATAAGACAAACGGCTGTCACTGGCTCAATTGCCTCCTCCCCAGACGACATACCAACCATCCATCAAAACCATATCTTATCATACTCAAGATATCGTTTAGCATATCTTATCAGTCTACAAGCCACAGTCTGTGGGTTGGTATTCATCAATTTCTAGACTAGCCTCTCCCAGAGTCGTGATATAGCTGCCGTCTAAGCCGAGATAAGATATGTTGGAAGGATACGGAGTAGGTGATGAGCAATTTACGACGACTGGTCTGATATTGGATCTATATTTAGACCGAGACAAGCTTTTGCCAAGCCATTTCCCCATGGGCAATCTCATTACGATCAAATCGGTTCGCAGATCACCATGGGATGACTCCTCAAAAGACTGATCAGTTTGAAAAGATGAGCAGAAATTCACGTTAGACTCGAGCGTCCAAACCTGGGGGGTAAGAAACATAATTAAGGCTATTCTAGAATACAATACGGAAACTTGTTCCAACGTCCGTAGCCTCGTAGGCTCATAGATGATACGCAATTGCCAACCATAGCGCTGCGATAACCTTGTTCCAGCTGGGAAGCTTTACATAGCACACAGTTGCGGCAACTCGGCACAAACCCACGTGGCACTCTTTCGATAATACTTATCGGCAATCTTGATAACTTTCAATTTACGTAAAGTTACACTCTTAAGCGATTGGTATGTCCTTGTCATTTATTATAATAGACCTGATCAACATGCTCAAGTTCCCGAAAGAGACTTAGAAGAAGTACTCTTTCCAGACACTATTATCTGCAGCTCTTCTTCACGGCTTCAAGGGCTATTATCGGTACCCGAGTATTCCTATACCTACCAGATAAGTCCGTAGTAGCGTGAGCTATGGCAACATCCACCGCGTCGGCTGCAGCAGCAGCGTCATCCGTTGTTTGGTGGACACCAGACCCCAAAGCTGGTGTTGGAAGTGGTAAGTGGTCAGACAATATACGGAGAAACTATTTCTCGTTCATGTATTCAATGGTTGACGTCGCGTAGGTGACAATGCATGGCAACTCACAGCCGCTTCTCTCGTCGCGCTGCAATCGATCCCCGGTCTCCTAGTCCTCTATGCAGGAATCATGAAACGAAAATGGGCCATCAATAGTGCCTTCATGGCCCTATACGCATTCGCCTCGGTGCTGCTCTGCTGGGTTCTTTGGGGTTACAAGGCTTCCTTTGGAGAGTATATGCTTCCATTCGTTGCCAAACCCGGAAACGTGCTCGGCATTGACACGATGCTGAAGCAATCGTACCTCCCTTCCATTGGCGTCGGTCAACAATTCCCCATGGCCACTATGGTGTACTTTCAATTCGTCTTCGCCGCCATCACCTTGGTCATCACTGCTGGAGCTTTCCTCGGTCGAATGAACTTCTACGCCTGGATGATATATGTTCCTCTATGGCTGACCCTCTGCTATACGGTGGGCGCTTATTCGATCTGGGGAGGAGGCTTCCTCTTCAAGCTCGGTGTTATCGACTACTCTGGAGGATACGTCATCCATCTCTCGTCGGGTACAGCAGGATTTATTGGTAGCTACTGGATCGGACCACGACTCAGCAGCGACCGCGCAGATGCCAGACCAAGCAATATTCTGGCGGTTCTCATCGGAGCGGGTATTCTCTGGGTTGGCTGGAACGGTTTCAACGGTGGTGATCCTTACGCAGCCTCCGCCGACGCAGGAGTCGCTGTGTTGAACACGAATCTTTGCACTGCTGTCTCACTACTTGTCTGGACGGGCCTGGACATTGCATACTTCAAGAAGCCTTCCGTCATCGGAGCCGTTCAGGGAATGATCACTGGGCTTGTTGCCATCACACCAGCCGCTGGCGTTGTCGCAGGCTGGGGCGCGATTCTTCTTGGTGTTGGTTCGGGCTCTGTTCCATGGTTCACCATGAACATCTTGGCCAAGAAGATGACCTTTCTGGAGCGTAACTTTGACGACACAATTGGTGTTATGCACACTCACATGGTGGCTGGTGTTGTTGGAGGGTTCGGCACAGGTCTTTGGGCTACTGTCGATGGCTGCGCAGCTTTTGGTCTGACCAATCCCGGAGGAGCAATCGCTGGCAACGGCATGCAGCTTGGATATCAAATGGCGGGTGCATGCTTCATCATCGGCTGGAACCTGGTCTGGACCAGTCTCATCATGCTATTCATCAAGTATGTGCTGCGTATTCCGCTGCGAATGACAGAGGAGCAACTGCTCTTGGGAGATGATGCAGTCCATGGAGAAGACGCTTATGTTCTTGGTCCGTGCGAAGCCCATGCCCATGGGTCTGGAAGTATAGAGGGCAGGGGGGAGTCCTTACACAGCCAAGACCTTGAACTTGGAGCCAAAGAGCATCATGGAAGTACGACATCAGCAGAGAAGGAAAAGGCAGGGCCAAGCAGGGTACCCAACTAAGTCCAGTCAGGCTCTTTTTGTTATCAACTACTTTCTAATACTACTGTACAAACTCATGAAATTGGGTAGCGCCTGTGGGGTCATTTGGGCTGATTCTGAAAGCCCGATTGGTCTTACGGCAAATAAAGATCTACGGATAACCTGTCACTAAATAGCATCATTGGTCAAATGAGCCTAGTAGATTTGCCTAGCGTAGACCTACAGGTTCATTCAATCGGCAAATATATAATCACCCTTACGTAGGGGATCCAAGCCACTCGGTCAAAATAACACATTAGCTTTTTCCCTCTTTTAGGCAGAATAGACTCTGTTTTTCCTGTAACCAATATCAACTCTCAATAAATAAGCCATTAAATATATGGTTAAATATCGTGACGCGACCATCCTGAGTAGACCCACAGGCGCTACCCAATTTCATGAGTTTATCCCTTTAAAGACGAGGAGGCAGCTTTGATGTACCAAGCCGGAAGAGTTAATCCGGTGGCCTTCTCTTACACCGTTTTGATGACTAAGAGGCTTTCGCTTGATCTAATTGGATACAGGTATCTCATGATCTCATCGGTACGGCGAATTACATTAGGTTTCGGTAGGACCGATGGATAAATCCACCAAGAAGTGGGCATCTCCTGACACTGGCGATCTGAAACAATCGCGCCAATCATCTTCTCAGCATCCATCCGCTTGCGGACCAAGCCGAGATGCAAACGTTCCATATTTACTCCACAACCGTTCTCAGCTGAATCCGATTACAAATCGTAGGGCGAAAATTCTCAAAACGAGTTACTAAGCTCGACGGACTTATGGACTTAACGGACTTAAGTAGCACTTACCATTTTAAGGTTATATTCGCACAGCAAAGCGATAATTATATAAATGTCTATCAATTCTACTTAATCACTTTTTGCATCACAGTTAGAAATTCAAAGCTCTCTTCTTCACATCATACCTCTACCAAAACGATTACACCTCCTTTTCCATCTACGAAAGATCTTCTCAACACCCATCATGTCTCCCTCCATTCACCAGCTTCCTCTCCTTGGCCCTCTCGTCGGTCTCAGCACCTGGACATTCGCAATGGAAGGCCTTCTGTATTGGCGCCGAACTCCCGCCCTTTCCAAGTACGGCGTGACCTTCGACCCGGAAACTGCTAAGAAGCAGAAAGCAGAGAAGCTGCCTGCATTCGTGCAGTGGCCCGCCGACAATTACAACAACCTGCTCGAGCAACCCACGCAATTCTACGCAGTTATGCTTGCCCTTAGTCTGCTGAATGTAAAGGACAAGGTCACGGTGCGCTTGGCGTGGGGATATGTTGGCCTGAGAGTGATTCACAGCCTCATTCACGTCTCGTACAACAACCTGCTTCTTCGCTTCCCCACCTTTGCGGCAAGTTCAGTCATGCTCTTGGGCATCACTGCCAAGGCAGCTCTGGAGCTTTTCTATTAAGTCCATGGCGAGTACTCGGGTCGAAACGCAGTGTCGGTGGGACACAGTACCTTTGGCATGGAAATAAATAGCATGCTGAGCACACACTATTTTGTTCGGCCACCTTCGATTATACCATTGGAGCTCCAGTAGCTAGTTGCCAATCAATCAATCCAAATAGCCCTCTAGTTTAATACCATCACTGATTTCAATACGTCAAGTAACTCGTTAAAATGACATCCTAGACTTTGGATAGTTTTGTAAAGTTCTACTAGGTTAGACAGCTGAGATAATGTTTCGATCATGCATACCCACATACACAACGGCGCTTTTACGTATGTATCCCAGTCGTGAAGTCGGGATGTAGTGTAATTCATCTACTTAGACGCAGCCGTTATAACAGATTCGGAATGGTGACCTTAATATCCGAATCCAGGTAGAACTGAGGCCAATCAAGGACTGGAAAGGAATGTTTGTAAAACCAACCTGTCGGAGCCGTAGGCGAGGCATTGGGATGCCCTATTCTTAAAGAGGCCACCGGAGAATAGTCATGAAAACCCCTCCATGACAGTTGAAGGAGCCAGTCCTAACTGCGTGTGCATGCTTTACAGTGCCTAGAATAACATGTTTCTATCTGCATCAAGGCCCTGTAGTACATAGACTACTATCAAGGGAAGGTGGAATAAGAAGGAGTAATTGATTTCTCACTTAGAGGCTATCTACTTGGTAGAGCTGATTGACCTACAATTTCTTTAATAGCTCTAGTAATGTCATTCCGTTCAAAGTTTCCTAGGATCTCCCTGTCTTTGGAGTCCATATCATATTGAATAACCTCACTTCCCGCAAATAAGAAGGCAGAGGGGAGAAGGGGGTGCTCCTCGTCTGATGCTTGAACGGTCCCTTCCTTATGAACGGCTGCCTGGAAAAGCTTATCAAAGTACGTGCATAGGAAAGATTTTCGTCCCCAAGACGAATGACTCGTTTAGCCACTTTATCGGGATTGTTCAATGCACCCGAAATAGCTTGAGAAAGCGATCGCGTCGGTATGAAGTTAATTCCCCCACGTGGCGCAAAAGGTGGGATGGGGAGTTTGCCCTCTGCATATTGCACTTAGGCCTGGAACATCGGAAAAATCAGTCAAAAAAATGATGCTCTAACTGTTGTTTCTTAAGTTGTTTATACAAAAGAAGGAGATTCTGATGATGCACTAGATAATGAGTCATATTATGGCAAATATAGCCGAACACTCCGCCACAAAATACGGCGGTAGCTACATACCAGCTGCCGAAGAAGAGGACATGTACCAGTTTCCAAAAAGGAAAAGCAAGAACCACGAAGAGAGCTACCAGCATAACAAGGCGGTATTTATCCATGGGTAGGTAATGGTGTATGCCATGCAATAGGAAGTGTAGCGTTATAGCAATCCTGTTATCGGGTAGGTATCTGGCAAAGAGGTTAAGCATATGTTATCTGGGCCCCAATTAGGGAGTGGCTCACTCCTCGATGTGGAATAGGAAGTGATGCATGCTATACTCGATTAAAGACCAGATGCATAGTTCAAAGAGCCAGTAAGCAGTGAGAGCAAAGGAAGTGTCAAGACCTTGACTTGCTAAGTAAGTCCTATACACAACGTAGGGGGAGCCATAGAATAGGAATCATCCACCACGGCGTCTTGGAAAGAGGCTCGAAGAAATTTCCAAAAAGTGGTGCAGAATTACCTCCCTTGTAGTGGCGTGGGCGGTGTACCTGATCAAGATAGAAGTCCTTGGTGAACTTACCGAACCAGATCTGTGGGAAGAGAGGGCGGCCGAGATTAAGAAATTCATGTTTCTTATAGTCGCTGTCAATATCGGTTACCTTACTCAGATCTTCTTCACAGAATACACCGGTCCGGTAGCGCATTTCGACAGCACCATCTTGAATATCGACATCATTATGCGATAAGTGGACAAAGTTGTTGGGGTCGGCAGCTTTTAGACACTACAAATCCCACATAGTAGTCGCTAAGTATCTCATATACGGCTTCAGAACGAGGATAAGACACGTGGTCTCTTGAATAAATTCAGTAACGTCATAGACGTCGGGACCGATAGTCACGTAGCATGATGACGCGGAATTATGCGACTTCACTTCGGCGCTTCTGAATGTTGGTTTTGTGCGGGACGGCATCGTATAATGGTGGCAAAAGCTTCGGAGAAGGAGCAGATAGGGGTAGTGAGCTGAGCGGGCACTATGGATGAATCATTGAAAGAGAGTTCTCTAGCTCTTAGCTGAAACGAAAGTCACATCTCCGACTCTATAAATTAGAGTAGACCTTTGGAATTCCTTGTGACGGTTAATATATTGTCTCCGTATGGCCCGCAATGATACTTGAATAATACGTCTTTGTCATTCTCGTCCGTCGTAGTAGTTGTAACTGTTTCTCCGCGACTAAGAAACAGTTTCACTTCTTTCAACGATCGAGAAAGTAGTCATAAACCAACCCCTCAAGCCCCTATCTGCCTTGGTGCTAAGAGGTCCATTTAAGCACTGCCTTGAGAGCTTTGCCACTCTTTGTATCGCTGATAGCTTGTTCAAAGTCCTTCACATCATAGTACGTAATCAACTCCTCTATCGGATATTTGCCTTGTGCATGCTGCTCAATTAGGAAGGGAATCAACTACTAGATGTTAGCGCGTCATTGGCTAGAACCTTAGAATGCATTACCTTGCTAGGGACGGCATCTCCTTCGCAGCACCCCACATATTCCCGTCCGTGAATAAGTTGTGCAAACACATCAACATCGACAGTCTTTCCGGGCTACAAGGCAAATATGTCAATAACTTCGCAATGATCAAGCTTTACCCATGATCTCAGCTTGACTTACAGACGGAGCTCCTACAGAAGCAGCTCTACCTCTGGTACCGAGGCATTTAATCATCGTCTCAATCACAGCAGGCACACCTGTACAATCGAGGGCATAATTAACCCCATTCGGTGGTGAGACCTCTTGCATCTTGGAGATAATGTCAGAGTCGCTGCCCAGTATAGTAGCTGTAGCCCCCAGAGTCTTGGCCAAGTCAAGCCGAGATTGTTGGAGGTCAACAGCGATGATCTCCTTGGCACCACGAAGCTTGGCAGCCATGACGGCGCTCATCCCTACCGAGCCGACTCCAAAGATAGCCACTGTCTTTCCAGGCTGCACATTGAGTGTATTCAGAATGGCGCCTGCTCCGGTCTGAAGACCACATCCGAGTGGGGCAAACAAAGCAAGATCGTTCTCGTCTCCTACTTTGACCAGACTTGATCGATGGACTATTGCGAGACGTGCAAATGAGCTTTGCCCAAAGAAGCTGCTATATAGGGCCTTTTTGTTTTGGCTGCCGTCCAGGTTCAATGCGCTAGAACCATCAGGCCGTTTGCCACCAAAGTTCCACGGAACAAAGGAATAGCAGTAGGCAGGATGTCCCGATGTGCACTGTTCGCAGGTGCCGCAATGGGCAAAGGAGAGGAGTACTTTATCCCCTGGCTTCAAGTCTATGATGTCTGCCCCTACTTCTTTAATGACTCCAGCCCCTGTCGAGATTGTTAGATGGTCTACCAGTAGCATCAAATTAGGAAGCTAACCTTCGTGTCCCAAGACCGCAGGTGCAGAGGCAGGTAGTGTACCATTTGCACATGACAAGTCAGTATGACATATTCCTGTTGCATGAATCTCAACTAAAGCTTCATTATTGCGGATGGCGTTAAGAGAGATCTGTTCAAGAGAGAATGGGCCGTTGATTTCTCGTAGAACCAGAGCAGTTGTAGTAGACATGGCGAGTTAGATAGTTTGAAAGACGTGGATGCTCAGGTTAGGTGAGAGGGTCAAGTATTCTTCACAACAGTCACGAGCAGCCATCTTTAAATAGAACAGAGGTCATATTATCTAAGTGGTCGGCGGGTATAATTCAAAGTTGTGTCTTGGTTGCCGTGTTTTGTTGCCGATGTCAGTTGACCTCAAGATAGCTATACCCTTAACAGCAAAGAGAAGACGTACGAGAGTCTCAGTTTACCTCTAGACTAACTACTTTCGGGATCGCAGAGCAACAATGCATCCTCTCCAGCTCTCCCAGCCTCGGAACAAACTTCTAGAATTTGGGACTGGGTTCGGAACTATAACCAATCATTCCTGGGGTAGACTTGGGGACCCACGAGAGAAACGCGGAGTTGGCTCTGGCACAGTATGGCTAGCTACCGTAGCTTCAAAAGAGGAGTCTAGACCTTACCAGTATTTACCTAACCTCCGAGGAAGCTATTGGTGGAGTTTGCGGGGAAGTTCGAGAGGTCCCACATGGTCGGAAAGGATGGGGATTGGTGGCATGAGCGATGGAGTTTCTAGTGAAACCTTGATTAACGGCTTGATGATGATGGCTTGCGTTCATCTATTTCTTTATTAACTTTCCTGAGGCTCATCTTCCAACATAAACTCAGACCTCGACAACGGCCACAATAGTAAGATGGGCTACAAGTTTGACCGCTTCGACATCACCGACCTAGTCTTTCAAGACTATCGGCAAACCCCTCTCAATGCGAGCGTTCTCGTACATAAATCCATTCTAAGAGGGAAATGACTCCTGTCCGTTCACCTCCATGGAGGTGGCTTGATTGTGGGCGATCGCCTCTACAAAGCCGCTTCGTCCGTTGTAACCCTAAGAAAAACCAACCGTGTCACCAGATTCCCCTCCAAGTCGCTGAGTATTCTGTAGCTTTGCTGCGTAAGCTTCACCTGCGGTTCCTGTTCTCTTTTCGGTCCAACCAGGTCCACATGGCTTTCATCTCGAACGAGGAAGCGATGATCCATGGGTCAAGGAGGGACTGGAGTTTACGAAGCAGTATTGGTGAGCGGGATACAAGTCGTGCCATCTCGTTATTGCTTAGCACAAAGTTTGGCGAAAGAGAGGTCTCGCTGGGAAGCTTTATAACCTGGACCGTTGGATCTATCAGTGTGACAATCTAATGTATCGTCCCCATGCGATACAGGGAGAATTCATGCAACATTCTGAGAACCCGTGCACTCAAGCAAGGCTGTCGAAGCTGTTCGTGATTGCCAGACTCAGTGGTTGTTTCCCCTGTATAAGATGCGATGCGGTCTCTTGTTGCGTCCTTTTTTGGAGTACCTCGTTCAGTTGGTCACCTCGGAATTCAACAAGGAATGCTTCAACAGGACTAGTTGGAGGGAAGGCATATTGGGTTCGACATGTTCAATTCAACGCTATCAATTCAATCTGGAGATGCAGTGGTTCAACTCCATGGGGCGAATACTGAGTAAGTCGTTAACGTGAAGGCGGATTTGACGGAACTGAATTGTTCGCTGGCCTGCGCTCGTTTCAGGCTCAATAACAGCAGGACGATGCCAGCTTCAGCCAGAGTAGCCTTCGTTCCAAGAACATCACCAACGACATCCGTAATAAGCTCGACAAAAGGATGATTGGAGGCAGTGGCCATAGACGGTCGGCTCATGACAATCCTAAACTCGGCCTTGAGACCTGGCACGGCCTTTGCAACATCGGCTATCAACTGGCGCATCTTACTCTTAGTACAGCCCTAATTCTCACCTGGCATGGTGCGCCACTCCATTACGATCTTGCACTGCGCGGGGTAGGCAGATATGTCTTCGGCCCAGAGTCGAGCGAAGCATGCACATGAAGACCTCTTCTTCGTTTCTATGTCCATCAGCTTCATACCTATGAACCTTTCCCTATACAAATCATCATCCACTACAAAGATCAGCCATTCTATTCTCAGCCCAGCCATTTTCTCTGCGGTATCTCTGCAACGTTTCTGTTCATTCCATGTCTATCAAGCCATGAGTGGACCAACCAAAACACAGAGTATTCTAGACAATGCACATATATCGCCTGAAATATTTGAGCTGCGCCCGGATTATCGGGCCCTCCTAGTACAAGCCGAGGGCATCCCTCCAGGGCCCAGCGACGCAGCCAGTGAGGCCATGTTGAGGGATGCAGAGGAGCACGTCAAGGCTCTCACATCAACCAAATCCGTCACTGAGCTCCCCCATATCGCAGCTTGGCGAGAAGCTTACAAGGCCTTCGGCGCCAAGCACCAGCGCACCCGCAATAGCCTGGAAGCCCTGACACTCCGTGTTGATAAGGGCGGCCTACCGCGCGTCAACCGATTGACAGACATTTATAACGCCATTTCTGTCAAGCATAATCTGGACAAGTATGATGGAGCGCCCTTCTTGATCCGCGCTACTGGCAAGGAAGAATTTCACACTACGGCTAGTGGACAGCCCTCGATAGAGCTAGCAGCCCCTGGGGAACCAATATGGTGTGACAGTACTGGTATTACTTGTCGTAGATGGAATTGGCGACAAGGTCCGCGGACTGTATTAACGGACGAGACTACTCGCGTCCTCTTTATCTTAGATGCTCTGAAGCCATTGTCAGACGAAGAGCTTGTTACGGCTGCTGAGGAACTCTGCAGTGCGCTCAAGGCACTATCTCCATCAGTGGAGACATCTTATCGAGTTCTCAGCGGTCCTGTATAGGCTAGGTTGGCTGATTTGATTCAGAAGGAAATATATAATATCTATAGTATTTAGCATCTTAATGGGGGCATGTAGTCCCGCGAACCAAACTCTAGAGTGGCTTCATGTATATAAGACTTTGACGAGATCTGGACAAGGGTTTTAATTTATTGGCAGTGGGTCGACAATGGTACTGTGAAAAATAGAAAAGTCTTCCATTCATTACTATCGCTACCAGTAGACAATTTCAAGTCCAGCGTGCAAGATCCCATAAATAAACTCAGGCAGTCATCAACGGAGACGCGACATACATATTCATGAAACCCTTCTTCAATCTCTCTGGAATACCTGCAACGCTCTTCAATCCGCTCACATCATTCCATCCCAAGCTCTGGGCCAAGACTCCCACAAAGTCTTGTTGGCCCTTTTCTTCCAGCACAGGACTTACCCAAGCATCATGAATGACTTCATATCTCTGCTTGACATCGTCGTTCGGCTTGACTGGCGCCCATGCATCTTCAGCCGTAACCATACCAGGAAGATTCCGTTCCGCAGTCAGCTCTTGAAGGTCTGCATCCGCAACCTTGTATGCTGGGAATGGGTCTGGAGACATGGTTGGCTTGGGCGCTGTGACTCTCACGCCTGTCATGAGAGAGGGGCTACCGTTGTTGGTGTTGAGCAGGTCACCAACGTTGTTCCCACTCTGACGTGGATCAGTCCCGCGATCATCTGGGATGCATTAGCTACAGATCTACAGGCGGGTACACAGAACTTACACTTTGACCAGAGAGCGCTCGGAAGCATCTGAGTATATCTCTCAAACTGCCAATCCTCTTCAGGATTGCTTCCATCCTCATGAATGACTTGGATCTGCATGGTTGAAGTCATAGGCGTTATCATGCCCATGGGCTTGCTGAATACGTCGTTGCCCCGTAGGATTGAATCGCCGTTTTCGCTAGTCGTAACACTGCTTATGGCCATCTTGCACTCCGCAACAAACACAAATGTGCCAGCCCGGACGGTCCAAGGGTCTTCCTTTCCTCTCTCTGGTTGGTCGTCTGGGTTGAGAAGCCCAGCCTCAGCAAGGAAGTTGTGTCCTTCATTCTTGGGTCTGCTCAATGTAGACGCTGCAATGGGTTCCTGTTGCTGTTTGCCTGTGATCAGGGAAGTCGCAGACGCAAAAGAAGATGCAGGCGAGTCCTGAAGGACAAGCTCGTAGAAATCAGACAATTTGACTGGATCAATCTTGGGGTGGTGATCGCCGAAGTTGATATCGAAAGCGACGATCCAGAAGTCAACGTGTACGCGGCCAGCAACGGGGGGGCCCCAGAGGTATAGCTCAGCACCAATCTGGACTGAGATACGAATGTGGATGAACCAGAAGTCGATGCTGAATCCGACTCCAACAGACACACCAGCTGACATGTCAAAGTAAAAGGGTCGGTAATTGATAAGGAAATTGGCAAAGGCGTCAAACCAGGCAGAGAGAGGTCCTGCTTTGAACGCAGCATGGAGACGTCCACCAGCCATACAGGCCTTGGTAGTGATGGCGAAATATGCCTCGCCAGAGATTGACAAACCACCACCCAAATCCCAGCTAATACCTAACCGAGGGGGGTTAGGGTAGCCAACAGGAACGCGGAACGCTTGGTGGTATCCGCCCAAGGTGAAGACAAAGTCTCCGATCCTGGCCCTATCGGCGAGAGGTGCATCAAACCAGTAGCAGAGGGCAAAGCCGCCCGTCAAATGGCAGTTAGGACTGAGGATGTAAGAGCGAGGTGATAGCTGGGCCTCGATCTTGAGGAATCCATAGTCGAAGTCCAAGACAGCGGCGATACCCAACTCAGCATGGGCCAGCTTGAGTGGTGAATTGGTTGAAGGAATATCACAGACCGCCGCTGCAAAGATGCCCAGCTTCACCGAGTCACCAAACTGCACTGCAACAACAGCATCGACACTCAGCATACGAAACGCAGAGAGTTTCATGCCAATGGCACCCCAATATGTGCTGTCAAGTGGCTGGAACCAACCACCGGCCGAGGGGTCAACAAGCTCAAGGAGTACTTGCTGTGCATTCTCGTTATTGCTCAGACGGCCGCTGTTGATGAAGGGAAAGTCCGAGACTTGGTCTACGGAAGGCAAGCGAACGCTGCTGTTGTAGCCAAAGCCACCGCAGATGCCGCTGATCTCAGCAAAAGCAAGTGTCATGAGTGGACCGTTGAGCTTTGCAAAGACAAACACGCTCTGGAAGCTGTTGCTGCTGTTGGCGAGAGTGATGACTCCGTAGAAGCCAGCTGCCTGGAACTGATAGGGACGGAACCCGATGATAAGACCACCAGCATAGTAGTCCATGGCGCCATCGTTGCCGTGGACGATGATACCGGCGATTGTCAATGGACGCCTTTCAAAGGATGCTGCTAGTCCGTCAATGTTGACACTGATTGTTGGTAGCTCATCTAGGCTCTTGAACTGGGTGTTGAGGGTGAAGCCGAGAAGAGAGAAGCCAATAGGCCCGAGCTGAAAAGTGGCGTCAAAGACGATGGACAGTGTCTTGGCCTTGTACCTTAGACCAACGTTGCTAATGGCTATAGGCCCTGTATCCTTTTTGAATGGCGCTTGTGCACTGGGGCCTCCATCGTCCATTTCCTCTTCGGTGCGTCTTCTGCCCGTTTCCTCGGTACCAGTGACCAGTGCTTGAGATGACGAAGGCTGGGGTTTCATGAAGCCGTAGCTCAGCAGACACACGCGCTCACCCTTGGCCACATTGCGAATAATGACAGCAAAGTGACATCCAGAGGGCACCAGAAGGTCTGTTGGCTGAGCACTGTCGGGCTTGATCTTGTCAGCAACAAGCAGCTGGTCCTTTTGCATGACGCCACTGTTGAGAAGACCGATATCCTCTCGTGTGAGCCCTGTGAGCTGTCCCGGTCGATTTGGCGGCTTGGGATCTTGGACAAAGAGGAAGTACAGCTCATCGAGTGGCTGGTATAATGTGCCCACAAGAGGAATCTCGAGTTCCATGTTGCCAAAGCCATTGATGGCTGCTTTGAACAGTCGTTTGGAAGGATCTTTGGGGCCCCATTTGGTGCTGTGGAGCTGGGAGAACAGGAACTGGAGATCGCCAATTTTGAGACTGGCCAGAAATTGGAATGACTCGATGTCAGAGGCGTCTTTCATCTTCTGGATATCAATGCGGAACGCGTCCTCCTTTTCACCGACTATCAAAGTATCGTAGACAAAGTCTGGTATGTCAAACGAAGAACCAACAAGGTCTGTCAAGATATCTCCGATAGTCGCATTCCTGTCAGCTGGGTTGAGCGCCGCCGAAAAGGTAAAGCCACTAGCCGTGTATTTGAAGTCCAGGGTTAATCTCAGCTCTGCAATGACCAAGTCACCAGCGATAACGAATGTGCTTCCCACTGAGTTGGCATTATTGCCACTCTTTTTCTCATACGTATACTTTACAGACAAAGTATTGATGACAATGGAATTGATCAACGGTCCAACGTGGTCCTTCTCATCATCGTGGAAGAACTCAGCAAGAACAGAGGCGTACAAGCCATTTATAGCCGCTGTGAGCTCCCAAGACTTTTTAGAGGAGTCGTAACCGAGGGTTCCAACGAATGTAGCTGGAAGATCGATTTCAGAATCCTCTGGGGGATCAATCAAGACAGATATCCCGACGTCAAAGGTAAACACTGAACTGCTGCCCCAGTTGAAGTAGGTGGCGAGAACAACCTCGCCGAGGTAGGGTTGGGGGGCTGAGCCTGGGGTTGGAGGATTTGCAGTGGCTTGACAGCGAAGGGAGAAGTACTCTTGGGATAACTCGATAAATGCAAGGGTTATCTGAGAAGGGAGAGTATCGGGGATGTCGACCACGGTCTGGCCTGGGATCAGAGTGGCGATATCGATGGATGACGCAGGTGAAGGTGTCAAAGGCGTCAAGATAGCCCACTTCTCACCCTCTGGCTCCAGGTCAAGGTCAACTGATGCGTCAAAGTCTGTGGATGGATTTAATCAGCAAAGGTCATAGAAAGCGCGATAATCACTCACCGTTCCACAACTGCCCAGAAAGAGTACCATAAGTACCGATAGACCGATTCCAATTATACGTGATCAAGAATACAGGAGTATCCTTGCTGTCTCCACGACCAAAGTTTGCAGAGACCTCGATGTCAAAAGAAAAAGACCCGAGTCTAGGATTCTGCGGATCCTTTCTTGTGTCAAGCCCAATGCGCAGTCTTCGCAGATTTGCAGCGGGCAAAACCTTTCCTCCACCTTCTTCCTTGCCAAGAATCTCATTGACGACCGTCTCGACTTCTTCATCCTCGGCAAGTCCAGCTAGCCATTGTAATATTCCGGCTAGCGGGTCTGGGGAGAGGAACATGAAGGTGAAGTCAATCGTGGTAGTGGTGAATTCTACGCCAGCGAGCATCGACACAGGACTCTTAGCATCTCTGAGAGAGCACCCGATGCTAAAGGCCACTTGGCCATGAGAGATAGGCATTTCGCCATTTTCCGTCACGCCCAATTGCGTTTTGCTTTTGTAGACGACGTCTGCGCTCTCAATTATGAGACCGCCCAGGGCAATTGAGAATAGGTCCTGCAATGCGTCGAAGTCTGACAGCTGGAACTGCAGCCGAGTCTGAAGCCGTTTATTAGCCGATGGGACGAACCACAACGCATTCCTCATGGGTGGCACATCAGCAGGTGGCTTTTCCAGCGATACTTCGAGGGCGAGGACCGCAAGAGGGATGAAGTCTGTCATGCCTTCTTGATTGGCATTCTTGAAGACGTCTTTTACTGTGACACCGGTGATGTCTTTCATGTTGGCAAAGTCAAGACCGCAAATCAGCATGTTGCCGGTAGAGTCAATGCCCGGTGCTTCAATGCGGGATCCTGTCTCATCACTGCCAAGAAGGCCGGTTGAGCCAAATGTGAAGAGCAGGACATCGCTCGCTGAGCTGAATTCAAGTGGCCAGGGCTGAGGCAGGGAGAATTGGAAGCTTTCAATGCTCTTTGCTGCTGTGCCATCGACGGTGACGGAGCCACTGGCGCCCGGATCAATGTCCCGGAACCATTTGATGGTCTCGTCCGAATCGTGGAAACTGGCGGCTGGGTCTGGGGCGCTGGATAAGATGATGGATTTGCTGGGGTTCAAGCCAGCCACGAAGTTATCCAGATTACTTCCAGGTGCCAGGACTTGAATGTTATCTCCGGGGCGTTGACCCGCTGAGCTGGCATAGATGCTGTAAGTTGCAGCGTCGGATGCCTCCAACGCTCTGCTCGAAGTATCGCCATCGTTAGGGTCCGATAGCACTGTCATCTTGCTTGTTCAAGGAGAAAGAATAGTATAGACAAGTGTTTTTAGGCCTTGGAGACTGGGCGAAGTAGGGGTTGAGTTCTCGTTCCTCCTACCCAGAAGAGTAAATGGATGGTATTGGTAACCAGCTGGAGAGTGGAATGATAGGGATTGATTCAGATAACTAAGCATGTATCGCGGAGACAAGTAAAAAATGGTCAAATGCGTTGCAGAAAGCAAATACATTGGATTTCATGTTGCTGCCCGGTGTTGGGGACCACGATAGACCCTGAGAAAGACGTCTCCGAATACGTTCTCAAGCAAGACATCATCTTGGTGTTGCCAACGGAACTTTCGGTTATATGCATGCTGATCAATTGATATTCACTCAGTTCGAGCGGGGTGTGAGACAAGTACAAGCTGCTGTCACCATGTCTCACGGCCCCTCCATTTCACCTGTAAGCCGCATGCGATGTTCAGGTTTGGCCAAAAGACCCCCACATCTCGATTGTGGGACGGGTTGTGACGCAAGAATGCATGTTGATCCAGATCCGCTGTCGTGCATCCGAGACGGCCCGTATTGTCTTGGCCCGGAAAGAGAAAAGAGGGGGAGGAAAGAGGAGAGACATTGAGAAATCAAGGTATGCTGAGTAGGCATGTGAAACCGCCAGTAATTGCGAAATTGGCTCCCAGTCTGGTTTGCCAGCTATCCCGGGTCTCAGCACATGGCGCGTTAGTTGAAACATCAAAGCTTCCTCACTAATAGACTTGGTATCATCATTGTCGCCAACTTCAGACTCCATCTTTGCTATTCTCAAAGATAACCTCCTCGAAATAAACACTATGAGTAAAGAAGATGGAATAGAGGACTTTGAAGTCGCTCTGGTGCCTATGCAACTAGATGCCTTCGTCCTCAATCCAGCTGTATGCGGCACGGGCAGTGATCAAGATACCACTGCTCGCATCTGTCCCATCACTCAACCCAACTACACCTTCTTGAGACTGGACAGCTTCCTACTCCAAAGCGATGTCCAGAATCACGTCGCTCTGCACAACACCGCCCCAGCATCTATCAATTCACGCTTGACCGACCTGGGCGGTCGTCCGGAGCCCAAACCGCTCCGCCATCGTCATGGCGTCTACGTGCACTGGACACTTCCGCGCTTCTACAGATCGGGAGTCTCTTCAACAGGCTCTGTGCCAGAGTCTAGAAAGAGATCAGAGAGAATGCGACGGGGACTTGATGCCGCATCCACCACGGCTAGTGACGCTCCTCATCAAACTCCGGACTTTCTGCAGCCGCCGACACGCTGGATCGTCATCAGAAAGCTTGAGTTGGATAGTGTCCAGCCATCCAGTGCAAAAGATGCTTTCAAGGACCGTGAGTACGAAGCTTGGGTCGTTGAGAGCGACTATGTCTGGTCCTTGGAAGATATCCCCGTCCAGGCCGACCTTCAAACTGATGTAGCGCCTTTTGTGCTTGGACATGCTGGCACTGACGTCAACATCAACGAACAAGCTGAGGTGTTTATTGGGCGCAAGACACCGCTTTCAGAGTGGACTGAGAATCCAAACCCAGCTGTTGAGCCTCCAGACATCAGTCTCCTTCGGAGTGGAAACCAGCTCTTTGCCGATTTCCAGATGCACAATGCCAACGTCTTTAGCATCTTGGATAACTTCGAATACGGTGATAAAGAGGATCCATCATATCTTGACTACGCCAAAGCAAGCTACTACGTCCTCGGGTGGCACTGGAAGGACACCGTTGATCCTCTCTGGAAAGCGGGGGCTGAGTTCACTCATGGAGAGAACCTACAGTCACTTTTCATGACCCTCCAAGGAACAGACCAAGCAAATCCTGACCCATGGATGGATCTCAAGAGTCAGATCCGTATCCTCTGCCATGGCTGCATGTATAACGTAGCCTGGGACCATGAGAACAAGCCCAAGACAGTCCCAGCGGATGGTTTCAACGATCGTCTGCGCGATCAGAAACAAGCTGCTGTCGCGGTTGGAACAACTCCAATGGATGCACTGCTAGCGTATTGTCACGCACGAGGCGATGCTAGCGGCAATTCAGAGGACGTCGCTAAACTAGAGGAAGATATTCTAGCTCTTGAATCACTCCTACAGTCTCGTGATGATGGCGTCGAGGGTCAAAGAGAGGCCAGAGACTCAGTCTACAACTGGTCCTACGATCGCTCACCAGGTGGAACGCGATATTTCTTCGCCGAGGCTGATGACAAGAGCACAAACCAGCCCAAGGAACCTGAACCAGCCGCCATCCAGAGGATCAATGAGTTGAACCTCACTCAGGCACTACTGGACTCCTGCAACAGAGCTATACTGCAGTATCGCTGGGACATGTTTTCTCTCTGGTGGAAATATGCCAGCGATCTAGGGCAGAGCGATAATCAAGGGAATGACCATAACGAAGCGTTCAAGGCTGAAGCTGGACGTATTTCAACCCGTATCAATGGGCTCCAGACGCGTATCACCAATCTTGAAGGACAGGTCAGCAATCTGCTAGGCAATAGTCAGTTGGCCACAGTCGAGTCCACAAGTGAGCCTGTCTTTTACGGTGGAAATGATCCAACCGTGCTTATTGGTGGTATCCCATCTGGCTGGGCGCTTGACTATCTCGATAATCTGTCTATTCGGGCGCCCTACCAGATCATTACAGGCGATCAAGCTCTACCCAGTAATCTCAGTACCATCGCAGATCTAGTTGAGGGCAAACTGCCGGCTGTTTTGACAGCTGCTACCAAATCGCTCATCACAGAGTTCCACGCCCTCCGACCTGGCGGCAATGACTCCGGTACGCCTGCTGACGGCAAATTCTACCCTCAGTTCCATGACCAGTTGACTACCGACAAACGCTGGCGTGATCAGTGGGGTGATAGACAGCCCTGGTTTCCTCTCTACGCAGAGTGGGAGGTGGAATACACCCACATCCCATTTGAATTCTGGAGCTTGGATGAACACAGCGCTCGCCACTCGGAGAACAAGCTTGTCAGATATGGCATCACTGTTCCTTCTGATAGCGAGACCCCTCCACCACTGTGGGACGCTCTCTCCAGTCAGCAGAAGCAGGACATTCGTGTCTTGTCCGGCCGTGTCTTGATCCTGCCTCAGCCCAGCTTTGCCTTGGGTGCCAAGATCAAGCAGCTTTTCCAAAACACACCGCCCAGCATCCTTGATGAGTATCTCCCAGAAGAAGATCGAAAGAATCTCCTCGACAACATCAGTGAACTCTCGTATCTTTCCTCGCCACTCTCCGGTTTTACCAGCGGCCTCGTCACCCAAGCAGAGGGCAGCCATCTCAAGCCGGAAAATAAAGTGGTTGGCCCAGACGGAGAGTCCAGCTCTGTCCTCACGGCCGCAACATTTGACCCTGCTGGCCTGACACAGGACAAGCTCCAACTCATCGATGGTAACTCGGCCCTCACCCCGTACGCCGCGTTGGTCAACTTCACCGACAGTGAGCACTGCCCCTTCAAGCCCGTTACACACGGCCAGTTCCGGTTCCGCAAGTTCAACGTCATCGACAAGTTCGGCCAGTCTCTCATGGCCATTGACCAGCGGCCACGAAGAGATGGTCCCCCGCCTATTTACCCCTGCATAAGTAACTTTTATGCTCCACAGGAGGTGACACTCGATGGACAGAAGTATGCCAACACGGTGATTAAGGATAATCCTGAGCAGTCTGAGTTTCTGCAGCTACCCCCGCAGATGAACCAGCCGGCACGTATCAATGCCAAGTTTGTCAGACGCATTTCTGATGACGCTACTGGCGCTTCGGGCCCTGCGTCGTGGCGCCCTGTCACGGAGTGGGAGACGCCGATATGGGGATGGGTCATTACCAATTACGCCGACTACGGTATACAGATATTCCTCCCCGACGGTACTTTCTACCGTGAGGTCCGTGTCGGTGGGCCGTTGGGTACTCTGCAGTCACCCAAGTGGCTGCCCTTCAGCCCTGAACCTGATGCACAGCCCACGCCTGATACGCGCGAGCTTGATATTCTCATCTCCAAGCTTGCCGACCCCAAATACCTTCTTGGGTTCTGGGGTATGATCACGACGGCGCAGCAGAAACTGCCTCCAGCTCCTGATTCCTACGCGCAGTTCCTCAACTCTATCGTAGGCAAACCACTTGCGCTTGTCAATACGGGATGGTCGGTCGAGCTAAGCGGACCACCTCTTGATATTCAAAGTACCCAAGTCAAGGTGGTTGATCCCGAGCGCACATTGCTGAAGCCATCGGATCCTGACGACAAGACTCCGTACTATGAGCTTCAGTTGCGTCTCGGTAACGAAGAGGCTGGCTACGATGGACTTGTCGGTTACTTTGACACCACGGATCCTGGGTCTGATGAGTTGAACTACGACAAGATCAAGACCTTCTTTGTTCCAGATGGGAACTCCACTGAACCATTGATCCGTCTTGACACAGAGCAGTATCCTATCTTCAGCCCCTTCTGGCAGCCCCCATTCTCTGACTCCTCCCCCACCATTGAGTCCCAAGGCTACGAGAATCAACGCAACGCCCAGATGTCAATTTTCGGTGCCATCCTAGATCCCTTCACACCCATCCATGCATATTCTTCCTTCCTTCCAGCAGCAGAGCTCCTCCTCCCACCATGGACGTGGCAAAAAGCCATGGACACCATGACAGCCTTCTTCCATGCAGGACCCTTGACTATGCCCGTCAACGACGTCCCTGGGTATCTCGAAGCAGAGAAACTAACGACCAAGAACGCTCGAGACATGCCAAAGCGCAATTTACTGTTGCCTTCTCTAGGGGGAGGGGATTGGAGTTGGTTTCAGCCTTATGCTGAGGGACAGGCTACGGCTGGAGATGAGGATCCGGGCGCTGTGTTTAATGCGTTTGGTATTGAGAAGAAGGGTGATTTGATAAAGCCTGGCTTTCAGGATGGACCGTACGCTGCTGTCGAGGGATTCTTGCAGCTGAGAAATCCAATCGTGGCTCCGAGCAATCCTCAGAATGCATGAACTGTTTTTGTATTTACTCTAGTCCGGCAGCTTATGATCAGGATGGAATAGTTTTCTTACAACGACATCAAAGATGAGAATTTAGGTGAATGTTTCCCAAAGGAAAGTTTTAATCGTTGTATCTTGCCTATAAGCATGTTTCATATGCGATGTTATTTACAAGTGTCAGGATACCCTCTTCTCCTAAAATTCACCAAGTTCACTGTGCCGAGTTGTATGACCTCTTAATGACAAGCCTGAACTGAAAACAACTCATATTCACACCACTATCTACCTCGACTAACTAATCTCATCTGCATAGTGCACAAAGTAATCATCCTCCTCCTCGTTCTGGTCTCTCGCCACGAAGAATAAATGGTTAATGCCATTGGCCCTCACCACCGTGAGCTGGCTATCCTGAGAAATAGTCCGACTGTCAATAAGCGTAGAAATACCCCATGTATTGTTCGTTTTAACAGTGCGCCGGATGCCACCAGCAGCACCTGTCCCGCAGTAGTAAAGAAAGACTTTGCCATTCTCGAACGCGACGGCCACTGGGGTGTTGCGCTGCATGTCGCCTGTTGGCTGTATTGGCACGGCAGCTGTACAATATTGAGCAGAGTTCATTGAAGCTTGGGGATGAAATACCTACGTGAGTCACTGCCGACAACAAACTCTACAAGTGAGCTTGTCTCATAGATAAGACATCGCCTATCAATCGTGGGATCGTACCAGGCAGCGGCGAAGGAATTAATCCAGAGACCAAAAGTCCCTGTGAGGTCAGTGCTCTGTGAAGTCTGGAGGTTCAATTCTACAAGAATCCTGCCATTGCCAAATGTTCTGAGGGTTGTTAGCTACCTTTCTCTCGACTTCTCACCAGCTTATGCCCTATATTGATGCATCACCAACCTGCTGTAGTAGACCCAGGCACTCTCTCCATTTCCACAGGCAGCGAGCGTGGTGTTGCCAATTGCCACGCCAGCCAGCTGCTTCTGCTTCGATTCGGAAATCTCTGAGAGATTATAAAAGTCATCCGGGGTGACTTTGAACGGGTTGTCTGTTGTAAGGGTAAAGACTCTCTCTACACCTTGAAGGTTGACACTGGCCATCTGAGAGGGGTTCAGGATGTATTGGCCATTCCCGACTTCTTGAGGAGGTTGGATGGGGTCTTCAGGGTCGGCATCTTTTGTGCCTGGCCAGAGACTAAGGCCAAGCTGAGCTTTCCCGGTGGCGTAGAAGAGCTTTATGACGCTATCGTCAGGGCTGGTCTTGTCGATGATAGCGGTGATGGGTGCCATGGTTTACTTGGTTGTGTGTCAGTCTTGGCTTGAGGAACTTCAAGTTCGAGGGGAACTCTTCCCATCTCCTCTAAATTCGGGTGGGAAGTCCGGTAACCCCTTCTTCTTTCCTCTTTCCTCGCCGCCATTCATCCTTCCGTCATTATCTCTGATCTTCTCTCGGGACGCTTAAGCACAGCGCTTGCACTGCATGAGCTGAGCAACCTTGACTGTTGAAATGGCTTCACCCCACTCCTGTGTCACTCCAAAGACATCTACTCTTCTTGGCACCGGTCCCTCATGTAGCTTGAGTGAAGTGACTATGGCATGTGAAACGTGCCGCAGTAAAGATCTTGGTACTGGTGCGAGGTGGCGTGGGTCCGAATGAATCGTGACGCATGTTTCACTTAAAAAGTCCCGTTTCTGTCTCTTGCATATTAGATCAGATCATAGTCCCGAAGGTCCTTGCTCGATTGGGAATCGGCTACATATCTCGATCTCGTTGTCACTTTACCCCGCTCGGGCCGCATCTGGTGCCGGGACATTGTTGGTGTTATGCAAGTCATGTCTCTGGGGCTACCATCCGATAGGCTTATGCTGCTCGCCCATACTTGAGCTACTGAGACACCCCTCTTGCATGACAAGCTGTGATCACAAAGTCTGTGAAAACGTGCACAAGTTTCCACTTGCTGTATGAGGGATGGATCGGGATGCGATACCATTGACTTGTTCTTCGGCACCTACGCCCCGTTAATTGAATTGAATAATGCTTGAAACGGGTCAGCTATTACTCTTGGACGTACACACAGTTGCCTTGAAGCGTGAAGCAGCTATCGCGCAAAAACCGCTTTCTTGAGCAGGAACGGGCAGTCGATATTCGCTGTTTTCATCGCCCACTCTCATTGCAATCATAGCGTCTGCTCCGCTGATTCTCTTACTTCAATCTCATCTAAGAGGCTTCCTGAACAAGTCCACTGCAGACACATACACTCACAGCTGAGCCATAAGTCATCATGGGGATCTATCCTGGAGGCAAGAGTACACGCATTGACTCTCCTCGCCATCTTACAATACGGCATTCTCGTCGTGTCGTCACTGCCAATCGCCCTAAGGCCCGTCCCAACGCCACTCAATCTGTGACCGTCCTCGCCGATGGCAAAGTCGCCGAGGATGAGCCTGACCCGTTGCCCCCAGGCGAGCAAAAGCTCAACTCATTCTGGGCTCCAGGCATCGAAGCAGGCCCCAAGCACATAATCTCAGTAAAGCAAACCATCCAAGCAAATGGTGATCAACTCAATCTGGAAGCAGAGCAGCCTTTCTACGTTGATGCACCGCAATTCTCCCTGCCTGATGGAAGCATCCACTCTACATACCCTCCGGCAGGATATAGTGATGATCATAGAATCTTGCCGCATGTCGTCTTGACGGATCCGCATCTCCCATGGGAGAGGCTGGGGAGTCCGAAGGGCGGGAGTAACAAGGCGCTCAAGGCACAGATGAAGAGAGTCGCCTTGGGCGCGGAGGTGGCGAGCAGCGTACCACGCAACCGTGTGCCGTGGCTTGTCGTTCTCGCATTCGCCCAAGACGAGCTTCGACTGCCCCCAGAGGATCTTGATGGCCCAGGCAGTCTGTTCAGCAATACCAGCGATGGAGTTCTCAAGCCCGTCAAGCAGTCTTCTACAATGACGGTCAATATGAGCATCGATGACTTGTGGAAGTTAAAGTCTGATGTTACGACGCCTGTCACGAGCAAACTCGGGCCGGTTTCCATGAAGGATAGCCGTGGAGACTTCATCTTTGTGCAGCCAGAGCTGTTCACCAGTCTCTTCTCGACATTCGACGATAAGGGTGACCGCACCAAGGGCAGTGGGCCAGATACATCTCAGTACAAATATCTTTCCCACGTGCGAAAGATCAACGGCTCTGGGATGGCTCTCGCTGGTGTTGAAGACACGGCCGTCTTTAGCATTGTCGTCGGCAACAGATCTGGTCCACTGGACAATGTCATCCCAACCACCATGTGCGCACATCTAGTCTCCATTGAAGGCGTGGAAGCCATGAGCTATCCGAGTCAGAACCACCGATACGTGGCCCTCTGCTCTTTGTACAGCTGGAACTACACAGTCCTCCCACCAAACACCCTCAATGTCCCAGATGCTTTCGAGCACCTCGGTCGCACCCTCAACGTGCTGCGAGCGCCAGATGAAATCATAGCGCCCCTCAAAGCGTCTGACGACAAGGCCCAGCAACTTGTTGGCCGTCGTTTGAGCGATGGGTATACCTTGATCAAATACCGCGTTCAAACAGGCGAGGCAACTGTGGCGCTGTATCGAGGTCCATTTACTCCCACGTACGTTCCTACTTTGGAGCATCTAACCAAGTGCTCAACTTCGGGCGTGGACTTGCAGATTCTTGATAAGAATTTGGGCATCATGGATGTGACGTACTCTGTAGCCTGGCAAGTCGGCCGTACAATGGCCCTCGGCGATCAAGCATTTGTTGCTGCATTGGGACGTGTCAGAACTGCGGTACACGCCGCCGCAGCGAAGCAAGTCAAGATCAATGCAGTCAAGGATGTTAAGGATACAGCATTTCGTACTCGTGATGACCTCCTCCAAGATCTCGCGTCCATGGTCAAGGGTCTTGCTGACATCCATCTTCAAAAACGTGGTTCGGAGCCTCAAGACCCTGGTGACGCTCCTGATGCAAGAAAACCTGGTAGACCTGTGTTCAGGCATGGCGGGGCTAAGAAGCGATGGCATCATAAGAAGCTTCAACGTCGTGATCGACCGAAGCTATCTTTCTCTTCACCTCTCTTCGAGGACAAGTACCCAGCTGCCGCGCTGGACTCTGTTCGCACGCTGGCTGCCAGTCGATCAGGTGACCCATACGACGAGACCAATGATCCACAGTCCTCAGACTGGATGACTGTTCTCTCATGGCTCGTCGACCGTATGTTTCTCGCGGGTGTACCAGCGCACTATCTCATACCCGATCCAAGCTACATCCCGCCAGAGAACCTACGCTTCTTCCACATCGACAAGAACTGGGTAGACGCTCTTATTGACGGCGCTCTATCCCTCGGTAACCATTTCGGTACTGACGAGGACCGCGTCGCTATTAAGAAAGCACTCAACGACTACATCGGTCGTACGCCTGATGGAATGGACCATCGCGTCCAGATACCTGCTTACGGCTTCTATCTCCGCTCAGACCTGGTAACCATGTTCCCAGATCTGCGCGTTGAGGTCTTATCCAATGATAGTGCCCTCAGAGCTGCTGGTCAAGAGGCTCCTGCGGGAGCACCTCTCTTACGGCATGAGATTGTCGCAGATGGCGTCATGATGGCATTCATGGACCGCGTTCCCGGCTCAGCGCAATTTTCGTCTTTGGTGTTCACACAACCAGCTCACCAGCAGCGATTTGCTGTTGCTCGCGGTCTAGACCCCAATGAGGTCAAGGTCAACATCAGACGGCAGTATACTGTTAGCCAAGCTACCAGGGAGACAGACAATGATAGACACAAGGCGCTCAAGGAAGTGACATACACTCCAACCACAGAGAAGAACATCTTTGTATGGAACTCTGTACCCGGTCAAAACCTCAGTGACTTGCGTATACTACGCCTTCCTGCCTTTGCGGACTTACAGTTGAAAGTATTGCAAGACATGATGGGGAAGCAAGAAGGAACTGGTACAGCTTACTTTTCGGATGATGCTTCGACTTCTGCACTATTTGCTATGCAGCTCAATGATCCCATTTATAACTTGACCATCAATATGGCTGAGCGTGCTGCGGCTGCGCAGGCGATAGCTGGCTTAGCTCCTCCTGACATGGGAGACGGAAGCCCAGAGTTGAGAACAATCAACATGATGGAGCCCGTCAGAGTCAAGAAGCTCTCTGCTTTCGGAACTGAAGTCTCTACTGCGCCAGTGGAGGAGATTCCACATGTTGAGGATGAGTACAATGATCCAAGCCATGAAGATAGCTTCATGAGATCTGAAGACTACGTTTCTCCACTGGACGTGCTCACGAACTACCTCTCACCTCATGTTCGAGCAATGCCACTTCATCGAGGGCCAAGTGTCAGCGACCCAGACAACATTCCCACCAACGCCCGTAGAAGTGAGGTTGAACCCCGTCCCTTGAAAGACAAGCCAGTTGGTTCAGAGCCAGCATCAGCCCCAAGATTTCTCATGCGAGTCAGCAGCAACCTGGCCGGCAATCACAGCCAAGTCGTGCTAGACAGATTCAATCTTCCCCAGGACCTCATTTTCTCCATCGTCCTCAAACAAAGCGAGATCAATCAGTACCTCCTCATGGAAGTAACCATTGACATTGTTCTGGGTTCACCCAGTGATGCTACATACGCTTTGATGTCGAACTACACTGGTCCTGGGGCACATATGTTGACGAACCTGCGCTTCAATGTGATTCCGACTACATTTCATGATCAGAACCAGAATCAGTATTACTTGCGTATTCGTCTACTTCCTCGGGCCGAGAAGGGCTGGGTCATGGCGCCGGCTGTGCCTGAGCTGAGTTTCTTACTTGGCTTGGCTAGTATGAATTCTCCTGGGTTTGGAACAAAATCTGCGGTTATTCGGTCTCGGGCGAGATATTGCAGAAACCCTGCACTTCCTTTGGTGGAGCCCAATGTGATGATAGTGGAGAATCCTCCTTTATCTGTAGAGGTAGTCATGAGTTAGGTAGGTTTATTTAGTTAGGAAACTATAGTGTGCACTGGGTAGAATGTTTTTATCGCCATACTCCCACGACATCATCACCAGACGGGTTTATTCTGTAGTTCTAGTACTTTCTCACACAACAAAATGACAATCCTAAAAAGCATTATCTCAAGACATGGACTGCCTCTCCCTCAAATACAGCCCACTGCCTATTTCTCTTGAGCCTCCCAAGCGACACTGGGCTGATCCCAAGCAGAATTCTTGCATCAAAGTTGAAAATTGTCTCTTCTCTCTTTTCTCTGTTCCATTTCCGTTTTAGGCCCTACGCATTCTAATGACGGCAAAGGCTGTTAAACCCCACTTGGGAGATGAGTCACCAGTTGCATACAATGATACAGTATCTGGTACGAGCACTTATGGAGTGCGTCAAGTGTCTCACGTCTGCAGACTGTGTTTGCCCTTTTCGATCTACTGCATGTTAATCCCTTCCTGGCTATATATTTGCATGTCTCACGTGCCACATCTGGGCGTCCATCTTACAATGTTCTTGCAAGTTGCAGATCCCCCACGGCCCGAATACATGCAAGCGCCCTAGCTCAGCCGCACCGATGATGTGTTCAATTTCTTTCCAATACATGCCAATTGCGGTATTTCTAAGCTGGCAATGGTCGGCAATGCATATGTGGGGGTCGTTAGTGACTGTGCCTCTGGTCGAGTAACTCGAGTGCAACACGGCGGATCCTTTTCTTCTATGTCTTAGCGATTGATCGGGAACCTATGCTATCACTTTGTGTTACACGGCAGGTATCTGATTTTTGTGTGCCGGCTCCAGCCGCACCAACATCGTAAGAGGCGAAAAATGACCGGTTGCAGTTTGACGACGAGTTAGGCTGGAGGGATGCCAAGATCGATGCATGGGACCTTTTCCATGCAGACATTGCATTTTTGATGTGCACTACAAGACTGGTATTTGAAGTGTAACAATGTGTCACAGAACGCGAAGTCGAACTGTTTAACGCATCTTATTATTCCTGTTTATCTCTTTCCAGCTCCATGCAGCCAGCACCATACTCAATCATCGAAAGAGGTTGGAGGCATCAACGTCATCTCCACCTTTCCGCGACCCGCCGACTTACGCATCTCGGCAAGAATGGCATCCCGATTCGCGGGGGAGGTGTACTTGTACACCTCGTCCGTGGGCATGCTCCACAGATAGATCCCGTTTGCATCCTGGAACATGTAGCCGTCTCCCCCGGCACTCCTCTCTTTAATCATCAGAGGCACGGGATTGGCGATGCCAACGGACTCTGCAGCCAACCGACCGCTGCCGTCTGTCCCCCAGTAAAAGTCTGTTCTCATCTCTTCCAGGACAGTCGTCCAATCATCGGGGACCTGGTTTGCGGGGATAGCCTGTTGCATCGATCAGCGACGGTTCAGGTTGTACGGAAGGTGATGCAGAGTGCCAATAATACTGACAAACAATCGGCCGGTACATACCATGGTCTTGTTGTCTTTGGGGGCTGAAATGATTCAAGCGGTTGGTCTTTGTTCTTACGGATCGGTATGGTAGAGGGGTGTGATGTGAGTGAGGGTACTTGTAGAAGAAGAGTTGGATGAGAGTGGCGGGGACTAGTAGCCTGAATTTATGTACAAATCTTTGTCACGTGTGTTGACCGAAGAAGGAGAGGCAGTGTATGACGCAGCAGTTTTTAAAGGCGTAACTGTTTTCTGTGAGCTGTTCTCTCCGTGAACGTCTGTCTGTTTCTTGATTATCACTCCTCATCTTACTCCGATCAAGACACGATCAAACATATCTACCATGTCGACCACAGAGCCCGTTCTCCTAGAGCCTTCTTGGGCAAAGTCGGGGGACAAGTGGTTCCGTACAGCGTATATATGGAAAAGAGACCAGGTATGTACCTTGAGGTAGCGATATATTCGAACCCAAGTTCATTCATTTTGCATGTCGTTGGTGTCGACTGGAAGCTGATTCAGTGGTAGATATTCGAGTGGATGGGGAAGATCGCCGCTGCCGGTGGTGTTGGGCCTGAAGAACGCAAAGAAGCTCGCATTCTCCTCCTCACAACAATCCGCGGTCGGTTGATCGATCTTTCGTAAGTTTCAAATGAGAATTGGTTCATTCTTAAATTTAATTCTCAGAGACTGACGAACGGAATAGCCTCCCAAAAGGAAGCCTATACATGGACAAAACAAGGAAACCAGATTCACATATTTCACGAAACATAAACCTAGATTGGAAGAGGGAAGATGAGACGCAGTCGAGATTCAATGTCAGTCCCATGTTCTTCCGTGAAGTTACCAAGACCTTCAAAGGCCCAGCACCAGACTGGTGGTGCCCCTACGATCTCCTTGGCCTCTTCCTCAGCCTCCTGGGGCCGGCACCAGCCGCTGCTGACAAGTATAACTTCTACCTCCCTCTCACAGGCGTTTACGGGCGCTGGTGCGCACGTATCGCTGGCAAACCAGAGAGGAGCTGGAAGTGGAAACCGGATTTCAAAGGCGAAGGCACTTTGCCATACGTTTTCCAATGCACATGGAGCCTTGAGGTCGATGACAAAACGAAGCAACATTTGTGTAAATACTTTCTCGGGGCATCCACTGCGGGCGACAGATGGGAGGACAAATTACTTCCAAAGAATCCCAAATCTCCCACATACACTGGAGCTTGGAGGGACCGTGTGGGAGAGGAACGTTTTAAGATGCTGTACCGATGTCAGAGATTAGTTAAGGTACGCGAAAGCGACTACAGAGAGAAAAATGCCCCCAGTCAGACTACCACCGGTGGTAGCATGGTGGCTTACGGAAACTGCGCCGAGACTTACCCCTTTATAATGATATCCTCAAGGTATGTACATCATCGAAGTGCTATGATTGTTTCCAATTGCTAATCCGATCCCACGCCTGGCTATAGTAATACGACACAGAACTTGAAGCACATGTCAGGTCTTGCTCTCCAAAAGAACTTCTTGGGAGATGGAGAATACGCCGAGTATCAAGCAGCACCTGATACTGCCATTTGGAGAAATTTGATGGCTCCTTGTCCCAATTGTACCATGCTTATTGCAATGGCCGGGGCAACTAGGTCCAAGTTCGATTTGGAGAAAGGTCAGGGAACGCCTCCAAAACCGATGAAATTGATGCTAGCAGCCCACGACCTGTCAGTAGAGGCCTGAGCTTTCCAGAAGAGGGAAAGCTTGGCGGAATGTGTTCCTAAGATAGCTACCAGATAGTTTTGTCATTTACTACCATGCAAAGTTTATACTTTTATCTTTGTATATCACTCAATGCATCCTTAATATGCGGCAACAGATTTATCTACCAGACATACTTAAGTAATATGATTCTATTGCTATGCTGCTAATTTAAGCATATCTTATATTACAATTTGCCTTCTAACCTATTATAATGCTTTATTTATATAATAAACCTACTTTTCTATTTTAAATTTACTATAAAGAAATATATACTTAGCCTAACTCTTTACTAATAAAAAGAAAACCTTTAGGTAATAACCTTTTCTTTATTATATACTAAACCAGGTTATAATAAAAATAACTCTCTTAATAAACCTACTTTTTTAAGCCTTTTTATTAGCTAGCTAACTTTTTATATTAATATTACAATTTCTAAGTTAACTTAGGTATAAGCTAGGGTAATTATTAGTAATTAGACCCCGATTTTAGCTTTTTAGGGTTAGGAGCTATAAGGTTTAAACCTATTACCTTTAGCTACCTAGTTAGCTTTCTGGTTAGGCTAGTAATATCTAACCGTTACGCTATAAGCCCCCAGATATACTTAAGTATTATATAAATGTCTGCTGGCCTTCTGTCAACTACCTATTGTGCGAGACTATAGCTTTTATTTCCGGTAGAAGCTAAGCAAAATCATATTACCGTAGAGTGTGTTCATAGAAGTAACGCGGGAAATCAAGTGCCTGTACGATTTCTTTCCTCCCTTTCTTTCGCTGTCTTGGACAGGATATCAATTCTAGCCCACAATGCATTCCCTCTCGTTGTGATGAGGATTAGGCGGAATAACACTGGTCCTTTAGATGTTAAGGGTGAGAGAGGGAATAATGGGACCAACGGCTATAGCTAACATCAGAAGCAGGGTTCGAGCCTCTGAGACCAACTAAGTTCGAATACGATGGCTAGCGTGAATGCAAGGAATGTGATTGACGTGTGACCCACAGTAACACAACTAACTCCAAAGCTACAGAGGGGATACGAGGTGCTATCACTTGCTAAGGCATGTCAGGGATCAAAATTACGAAGCGACAATCCCATTCCAGCGCCAGCGTTTGCATATCCACAGAGGATTTCGGCAGGGACAAGTGAGCAGACAAGAGGCAATTATTCCTCGGAAGATAAGTGTAAAGGAGCTTTCCTAATGTACTCACAGTGGAAGGAATTCAGATAAAGCCAATTCTTCCATGGGGACAGCTAAGCTGAGCATGGAAGCGCTTCAGACCAGTGCGTAGTACGTCGAGCGGATGTTCTCGATCACAAGTCAAACAGCGCAGTATCAATTGCGAAGTGTCAATTGCAAACTGTGATTCATGATTTACAAAAACAGGAACTGGCTCTATTAAACATAAATACACTAAAGCTTTCCTCCCCAAGGTCAGCCTAGCACTCGAGTTATCTATGCCACAGTGCCTCAGACAGCTCAAGAGATCAGTACAAAGCGCGAAGTCAGATCCTGAGATCGACATGGGTAGTGGGAAAGCGCCGCAAACGAAGTTAGAGCTCTGAAAGCGGGAAAAGAAGTAAAGTTGTTACAGCACCCAAGGCGAGGTACGTGATCCTCTCCATGATGCGGCTAGACTACTGGAAGGTGATCTAACAAGACAGCGGTAGATACCTATCAGAACAGGGCCGCGGCAGCGACAATAGCAGCAACAAGTGCCATGGAAGTTCCCGTCTGCTTGACGGAAGAGCCGGTAACGGGGACAATGGTGGGGTTGCTGGACCCAGTGGTACCAGTGGTGCCAGCACCGGAGCCGGAGCTGCCACTTCCAGAGGAGCCCGAGCTAGATCCAGAGCTACCGTTACCAGAGCTGCCAGGAGCAGAATCGTTAGAGTCAGATCCAGAGCTAGCGTCACCAGAGCTGCCAGGAGCAGAATCGTCAGAGTCAGATCCAGAGCTAGCGTCACCAGAGCTGCCAGGAGCAGAATCGTCAGAGTCAGATCCAGAGCTAGCGTCACCAGAGCTGCCAGGAGCAGAATCGTCAGAGTCAGATCCAGAGCTAGCGTCACCAGAGCTGCCAGGAGCAGAATCGTCAGAGTCAGATCCAGAGCTAGCGTCACCAGAGCTGCCAGGAGCAGAATCGTCAGAGTCAGATCCAGAGCTAGCGTCACCAGAGCTGCCAGGAGCAGAATCGTCAGAGTCAGATCCAGAGCTAGCGTCACCAGAGCTGCCAGGAGCAGAATCGTCAGAGTCAGATCCAGAGCTAGCGTCACCAGAGCTGCCAGGAGCAGAATCGTCAGAGTCAGATCCAGAGCTAGCGTCACCAGAGCTGCCAGGAGCAGAATCGTCAGAGTCAGATCCAGAGCTAGCGTCACCAGAGCTGCCAGGAGCAGAATCGTCAGAGTCAGATCCAGAGCTAGCGTCACCAGAGCTGCCAGGAGCAGAATCGTCAGAGTCAGATCCAGAGCTACCGTCACCAGAGCTTCCAGGAGCAGAATCGTCAGAGCCAGATCCAGAGCTACCGTTACCAGAGCTTCCAGGAGCAGAATCGTCAGAGCCAGATCCAGAGCTAGCGTCACCAGAGCGCCGTTACCAGAGCTGCCTGAAGCAGAATCGTTAGAGCTGGAGCCAGTGCTACCGTTGGATCCAGTGGCGTCGTGAGTGGCATAGGTGCAGTTGGTGCAAACAGGAACCACGCTCTTGTTATACTGCTCAGGGGTACCCCAGGTATTCTCCCAAGGAGTGAACTTGATAGCAGCCTCGCCCTTCTTGCCGCAACCGCAGTCAGCAGGAATGAAGAAGTTCTGGTAGTTATACCAATCAGAACACTTAGTAGGCTTGAAAACCTTCTTTCCACGGCAGCTGCCATTAGAGCAGTAAATAGCAGTGTACTCCTGACCTCCTTGACAAGAGCAAGGCGACGAGATGTAGACCCACTGGTTATCGCAGTCACTGCCGTTGATCTCAACCATAATGTATACGACGCGAGAGCCAGAGTCAGATACGATCCTGCACTTGCCGTGGACGCAGACGATGATCTCAGTGACGACAACGGTGGTAGGGTTGGGTCCAGGAACAGTCTTGGTGACAGCGGTGGTGATGGTGGTGGTACCGGTAACAGTGGCGGTCATGGTAGCCAGGTCAGTGACAGTGACAGCAGAGCCGGCGCGGACGTAAACAGTGAGAAGGATGTTGGCGGGCACGGCACGACGGAAGAGACGGCTGGCAGCAGCAGTGTTACCACCACAGAACTCGGTCTTGTCACCAGGGCATTTTTGGTCGCAGAGGCTAATGGCAACGCGGGAAACGGTGCTGGAGTCAACAGTAGAGCCACAGTAGCAGTCGCTGTATATGTCAGTATACCTTAGGGTCTATTGAGAGAATACGATGTAGACTTACGTGTTGTAGACTCCGAAGTACGCTTTGGAAGAACAAAGAGCAGAGCACTTGTTAAGCGTCATGGAGGGGCTAGACTCGGCAAGCTCGAAGGTAGGGAAACCAGCAGAAGAGCGAGCACAGCCGAAGAGAGTGAACGATCCGATGACGGTAGGGTTGCTAGGAATAGTGGTAGAAGTGGGAGTGGAAGTGGCAGAGCCGGTAATTGTCCTGCTGATGGAAACGGAGACCGAGGCAGAAGCGGACGCAGAGGCGGATCCAGTCTTGGACTCAGAGCCAGACTGAGAAGCAGACTTAGTAGCAGACTCAGTAGCAGTGGCAGAACCAGTCTTAGT